TTATTTATGGTTAACTACAATGTATTCTTTTAGTTGTACACCTGTCATTTGTTTCTTTTAGGTTTTAAAATTAAAGCTGTATAACTTAGTTTAAAAAGTGTTTTATTTCAAAACTGATCATGACTGAATTATTCTTTGATATTTACAAGTTTGACCAGCTTTTTTCAATTTTGAAATTATTTCAAATTGAAGTAAAACAATCTATGGTTTTCTTTAATCTATGAAAATTATATTATTTATTTGACTTATTCCTTTGATTAATACCACACTTGTCATCAAAATACTTCTATACCATTAGACAAAATGCATGACATAAACAAAAAGCAAGGGCTGATAAATCAAACTGTTTCTGCCTCTTTGTTTAATTTTGAAATCTATTTAATGTTTAATGTTAAAGTCATTTGGAAACATTGCAAGAATGGCCATGCCTTTGGTAAAATTGCAAGAATGGCCATGCCTTTGGTAAAATTGCAAGTGTCATGGTTCAGAACTGTTCACTATTTAAGGGAGATGATGTGTAAGCAGCTGGATAGCTCAGGTGGTAGAGCCAGGGTACGGTATTGCAAGGGTCCCGGGTTTGAGTCCCTTAAGGGTCAAAAACGGTTTTTCACAGGGTCACTCGTCAGTCCTGTTACATTGACTTCTAAAAAACCTCCTTATCTAAAACAACATCTGAAACAACAAGGCCCCGAGCTATGATATTTGGTATACTGTAAAACATTGAGGTTATCTACATATTTTGATAAGGTCATAATTGGCCCGACCATTGGGCCATATAGTTTATGTACACTTATTTAGGAAAACTCATTTTAATATTGTAAGAAGCTTTATGTCCTGACTGTATCTTACAGTAACGGCCTGTATTATTATCTGGTGGACTTTTACAAAATTTATATTAATGGTGTCACTGGTTTAACATGGCCCAATCCCCAGTATCTCCTATTTTGCTTAGATTATTACTGAAAAAAAAAACACATTTGATTAATTGAATCTTCTTTCCCTCAGAAATGCGGAAAATATGTGAATAATTATGCTTAACCTAATAAGATATTAATCTATTGGTGTTAATTAATAATATCCTGTATTTGAACTATGAAGTTTTTGTGTTACATAATTAAAGTTTGAGCAACTACATGTCATTTGTGAACAAGGAAACCAAGTATGTATATCATGTGACCACAAGCAAAGTCATGCAAATATTATAAATATAGAGCTAGTCTCTGATTAAATACTTACAGAAACTTGAAATAAAAAATGAAAAAAATACTGTTACAGGAAGTACGTACTTACACTGGTACTAATTGATACAAAATGTTTGCCCTTGTTATATCCCACACTTGTGATTTACATCAAGTTTCTAGTTTTATTCATATGCATGTAATAAATGTAAGTTCTTTGTTTAATGTACTCTTTTGTAAAGTACTTTTTCATATTTGATTTATAATTAATTCTGATCTGTTTGTCAGAGTACAAAATGACTCAGTAAAAACAACTTCTTGTGCATTTATTACTGTTTTAAAGCAATTTATTGTCACGATTTTAAGATTTGAATGATAAATATAACAGGATCATGTAAGTGTTTATTGTAAATTGATTTTTAGGGCTCAATTTTGGCACCATCACCCCAAATTTATATAAATTTTATCCTTATTTAAAAAAACAAAAACATCCTTATTTTATTTAATTTTTTTTTATTTTATCTGCCTGTAACAATATCTTCTTGAAGTTTTTTTTTTTTTTTTCAAAATGAAATGATGTCAATGTGTACTAAACATGAGTTAAATTATTGACAGACAAAATTTCCCTTTTTCTTCAAAACCATGTGAACCAGTCCTCTATAAGGTTATTAGTGCCCTGTAAGTATTAATTACTGCATTTCAATTGTATCATGTGTTCAATCTATATAGATCCTATATACAATGGACACTGTGGTTTTCCATTTATAAAACAGCTGTTTGGTCCAATATAAAATATTGTTTCGACAGTTTGTTTTCTCACCCGCTACCTACCCACAAAAAATCACTGCTACCCCCAAAACATCTATTGTCAAAACAAAACAAAATCCCCCCCCCACTAAACATGGAAGCAGAGTTACATCTGTACAGGATATTGAAACATTGGTTTTAATCTGAACAGACACAACACATTCTTTGAAATTTACATAATATTATTCAGCAATACAATATATGTTCAATAACAAATTATAATCTACATTTTGGAAAAAAAAAAAAATTGTTTTACTTCCCAAACTGGAAACAATATTAAAATTGAAATTAAAACAATATATAAGGCTGCCCATATTGATATAGGTATCTAAATGATATCTGAGAAGAACTATATTATTTTGTCAGGGTACACAAGAGTATCGTCATGTAAGTGCATCTGGTGCACTGAATATTACTGTCATGTAAGTGCATCTGGTGCACCGAATATTACCGTCATGTAAGTGTATCTGGGGCACCCAATATCACCGTCATGTTAGTGTATCTGGGGCACGAAATATTACCGTCATGTAAGTGCATCTGGTGCACCGAATATTACTGTCATGTAAGTGCATCTGGTGCACCGAATATTACCGTCATGTAAGTGTATCTGGGGCACCCAATATCACCGTCATGTCATGTTAGTGTATCTGGGGCACGGAATATTACCGTCATGTAAGTGCATCTGGGGCACCGAATATCTCTGTCATGTTAGTGTATCTGAGGCACCGAATATTACTGTCATGTAAGTGCATCTGGTGCACCGAATATTACCGTCATGTTAGTGTATCTGGGGCACCGAATATCACAGCATGTTAGTGTATCTGGGGCACCGAATATCACGGTCATGTTAGGGTATCTGAGGCACCATATATTACTGTCATGTAAGTGCATCTGGTGCACGGAATATCACCGTCATGTTAGTGTATCTGGGGCACCAAATATTACTGTCATGTAAGTGTATCTGGGGCACCAAATATCATTGTCTTGTTAGTGTATCTGGGGCACCAAATATCACTGTCATGTAAGTGTATCTGGGGCACCAAATATTACTGTCATGTAAGTGCATGTGGTGCACCGAATATCACCGTCAAGTTAGTGTATCTGGGGCACCAAATATCACCGTCATGTTAGTGTATCTGGTGCACCGAATATTACTGTCATGTAAGTGCATCTGGTGCACCGAAGATTACGGTCATGTAAATGTATCTGGTGCTCTGAACATAACCGTCATGCGATCCGTATTTATTGCTTGCCATGTCTAAAACTGAGAAAACCACATAATTATGATAATTTGAGTCAGAGTAGGAAACAACTTTTAATTCCACTCAACATGGTACATTTAGGCCAGAGAAAGTTGATCTGTGCAGTATGAAACAATAGTTATAACATTAGCGTAAAGTTAAACATCTTGAAAAACTAATATGAAGTACCAATTGTAATAAATTATATACTTATGATTGTTCTGTTGTACAATTCATGATAGATTTGAACTCGTACAAAGTATAATCATATAACATTTCATTGTACAATATGTTTTCTCCAGATGTGTACATGTACTTGTCTATTGTACTGTACACAACATCACGAATTTCGCGTCATCACTTATTTCATGGTAATGGCATATTTTCATGTGACCAGTGTTAAAATTGGTCAGAATTGACATATTTCATTCATATATCTATACAACAAAGTTTTTGTGCAAAATATTATAAATCTCTAGATTTTTACGTAAAACAGAACAACATTTATAAATTTCTGCAAAAAGCAAAAACAGTCCATTAAATTTGTGCGTATGTCAGAATTGAAATATTTTGTTCATACATCTATACAACAAAGTTTTTGTGCAAAATATTTAAAATCTCTAGATTTTTACGTAAAACAGAACAACATTTTACAAATTTCTGCAAAAAGCTAATCCATTAAATTTGTGCGTATGCTGGAAACAATCATCATTTTCTAAATGTTCTTGTTTGTTGAAAAAATTAATTTTGAGTAACAAAGTAAGGATAATTTTAATATTTAAAATCAAGCAAAATAACATGTAGAAATTTTAACCCAAATTTGAAAAAACTGAAATGTAACACCATTACCGCGATTTAAATAATGACATACTGTTTTCAAAATGGCCAACATATGGTCTACGTTTGGTCCATTAAAATTAACTTTGACTGAATATATTGTTGTTATTGTGCAATACAGCAGAAAATACCTATATGTTACAGCTTATGACAATTTTTGTACCATAAGTTTCATTTGTTGTTTTCTTTCTGGTTTCAAAGCGTTAAGTACCGTGAACTTAGATGAGCACAGTATACTACTTTACAGAACATTTCAATGTTAACCTTTTACCCCATGAGCATATTGCGAAAAATGGCTGTTTTCATTGAAAAGCCTCCTGTAACAAGTTCAAACTGCTATGAAACTATGAAAAATGCTTCAATACTGATGAAACTTGGCACAAATGTTGACTAGACCATAGCCTCTGTTACAGCATGCTCTATCGTAAATTTCCTGTTACCATGGCAACAGGGGACGTCTCAAAATTGCCAAAAATCACTATTTTGCATTGTTTTTTCCCATCAAAACTGATTTCAAAGTGCTGCAACTTCTGAATGAATTGATATAGAGTCAAAGGCTTTTCAGTGTTGGTTACTAGTTACCCTAAGATCAACATGAGGCCATTTTTAGCCTGTCACATGTCCAAAATTTTCTTGGCGATGAGGGGGCCTACTGTCCCCCCTTCAACCAACACACACACACCCTTCTGGCAACCCCCTGATGTAACATTGTAACATTTGCATGGGGGGCGGCACCGAAAAAGTGGTCGCTTTTTTTAACAACATTTCTCAAACGAAAAACAGTGTTTGGGGCCTAAATAGGACATTTTTCACTGTTTGAGGCCTCATAAAAGGGGGGGACAAAAAGCCGTCAAAACACGTCTTTATCAGGGAAAAGGTTAAATAACCTGTTAATGTTGAAAACTATTATGAATAATTTTCTGTCATGTATTTGTAGGACCCACGTCAGAGATTCCAGGTGAACCAGATTATGAACAAGATGAAATGGAAGGTAATTAAAGCAGCAGGTTATTTTTCTGTCGTGATTAATATATATTTTCACTTTTTTATGCCCCTGATAACTAGTTGTCAGATAGGAAGAATTGTTTAATATGTTGACAGTAAGATAAAAAGTAATAACGCCTGCTCAGGTGATCACTATACAGTTTGTGGAACTGTAAATGTTTTGTAGATGATATTATTTAAGGGCCAGTTTTCACTTACATGTGTTACAAGGCAGATTTATGTATGGTAAAATATATTGAAATATTCTATTTTTGTTTTACAGGAGAAGAGGAGGAGATGGTTACTATGGAAACATCAGAACAAGAGTTTATTTTTAGAGACTTTGTTGTCAAGTATGTTTGTTCATCTGAACTTTTAAATACTTCTCAAATATTGAATGTTAATAGAAAGTTTGCAATGTCAATGGGAAATATGCGATGTCAGTGGCAAACATGTCATGATAGTATTTCATACAAGAATACTGTCTAGTTAACTTACAGGTTGGTTGTTATACTAAGACAACCACTCCTGATATAAAGCACTAGAGGTCTTCCTCCATTCACCATATATGGGCCTTTAAAGTGTCTGTATGACTTAAAACCAAAACCAAACAAGTATGTTGAAATGTTGATACAAATCTAAAAGTTGGCATTATTCTTACTGTATAACTTGATTTCTACTAAACCCCGAATTCTTTCAGATTTGCCAAGCCAGAGGTATTGAAGGCCTATGTGCTGTTGACAGCAGACTTTCAGAAGAATTCTACACACACTAACCATTGTTGTATTAAAATGTTACACCGTGTAGCTTTTGATTTGGGATACATTGGGATGCTGTTTCAAATTTCTTTATTTCGAGTGTTCCAGAAAATTATGCTCACTCCTCTAGCAAAAGCTGAGAGGTATAAGGTAAGCTCTGTTTGTTTATTTTGAAGTTTGGTTAATGCATTATTTTGACAGAAACCCATACCATGAGACTAGCAGCATAGTGTCTCCATACAAGACATGGTTTCTGTATGGAAAGAAGAGTGACAGCAGTGTTATATTGAATCTGTCTTAGGACTCTGCAAATTTTTTGTATCTCTCTAGTGTTAGATTTAACAACAATCCTTATTAATTTACTCTGAGATGGTAATATTAGGTGTTCAGACGTGTTACAGATTTGTGATATTCACTCATGTGTGAGCCAAATTTATTTTATATAATGGTTTGTTTGATCACATGTCAAATACTATTACTCCATCATCACTGTTTAGAATTATGTGGAGTAGTTTGCAGTTCTTTGCAGAAAAAAATGGTTAGCTCTGTTACAAATTCAATGGAAGCTTAGTAAATGACAGTGAGTTGTCGTACCTGACACAGGTTTGTTTGAAAAGATGTTATGTTCATTTTGAGACAAGTAATTTATTTAGAGTTAATCAAGGTATTCTATGCAGAACTCATACAGAATGCCAGAAAGTTCCTTTAGTAAACAAGAAAGCTTAATTTAGACTTAACACGATTGTTAGATTTTAGGTTTTATTATGTCATTCTTTATTACAGGAAATATATAAATTTGCCACACACATAGTGCGTAGGTTTGTAGAGGTTGCAGAGAACAATAATAAAATATTTATGGAGATTTTGTTCTGGAAGACTAGCAAAGATGCTATAGAACTTGTAGAGGGATATGGGTCATATCAAAGGTAAGATACACTGATAGTCACTGGAAATAATGATAGTCTTATAGCAAAGTGAGCCTGTAGTGGTCAATCATAGCTAAGATATTTCAAATCTAGTGTCCTTGATGTTTACCATGAAGTTAAACTTTTATATCCAATCTGCCTCAACAAGTAATATAAGTTGTGCACCAGTAGAATAGCCTAGCCTTTGAAAATGTTTTTTTGAATGTTGTCATTGTAGCAATGTGTTTAAAAATATCAAAACAGTCAATAAGCATCCACTGGTTTTACAAACTGAAATTTCACAAACCTAGACGAATAATTTTTGCAAGACAGGTTCAATAACACCCTGATGGCAGCAACTTAATATCACCATTCCACTAGTGTAGACCCATGCATGCCCATGCAATTTTATCATAATCTCGAACTGTTTGATATTCAGCCTGTAGTTATTTTGAAATTTTACCTAAAAATGATAAATGGTTTTGTATGCATTGAAAGAAGATATTAAGCTTGGTTAGGTTTAATCAAATACAGGAGGGCAAAGGTCACATTATATATTGTTATTTCAGTAAAGGTAAAGTGTTATGGTCAGAAGATGCTGAGATGGAAGTAAGAAGGTTATTTGAAGACTACAAGGAGAATGATGAAGGTAAAGGTTATGATTACCATACATGTTGCATGTTTTTATACTCAGCTTTATAGCTCATATAGTAAAATATTTGTTGATTGTTTTGAATTAAGCAGTATGATTTAATGTCCATGTCTGGTACTTGTTCTCCTTGCTTATTTCATTACATGATAAAAGTTGATTGGAACAATATCACAGGTGATCTTTAGTTAAAACAACATCCATTGATTTCAAGTAAAGTTGTAGCTTATTTAAATTACTCTCAAGTCCACTTCCTGGACTAACCAGTACTGTTAATTAATTTGTGACCCCATTAGGTGCTTGAACCCACAGTTCCTGGATTGAGAAACTAGGCAAAGTATCAAAATTTAGGAAATTTAATATGTTTATAATTATATTATATTAACATACTTGTTACATGAGCATTTTTTGTTTTCAAAGATTATTTATGTTTAAAATGTTGGCTTTATTATAGAAGGAAAAGATACTGTAGATTGCATCATGGAAAGAATCACAGATCCCACTAAAACCAGGGGACAAATTATCCGAGAACTGAAACGACAAGAATTGATTGAAAGTGCTAAGGAGTTGAAAAAAGCAAAAAGGTTAGTATCATATGATATGTTAAGCAGTCAATGGTGATCCAATTTAACCCTTTAGTTGTGTTATCCGTCACTCATGTTTCCAGCATAGTCACATCCACCTGCACTTACTTTCTATCTGACTAGACAGTTTTACCATTCATTGATTATAATTATTTGTATTTTGATAACCTCCTGAAAATAATTAAAAAGGATTAACAAATTTTATGCAGGAATATATCGAGGTTTAGTGTCAGTGTAAGATTTTTTGGTACAGTATTGTGTCAGTATTTCTGTAGTAAGATATTTCATTCTGACAGTATTGAATTGTACTTACTGCTACAAATAGGTGCCATCAGTCAATTAGGTGAAATATTATAGAGTGACACACATATATTATTTCAGTGGAACACGAGCTGGACCATGGAGAGAAGAAGATGAACTTGAGCTGGGAGAACTGTTTGATAGATACAAAGATGCTCCAGGTATGATGTCATTTTGGTTTAATGCAACATCAAAATTTCAGAACTTACGTAATGTTATATGATGTGAAGAAACCTAACTGGATTTAATTTGTTAGCAAATGATACGAAAAATATACCTAGTTTTTTATGTGCATTGCTTGTATGTTAATATTCTAGAATATTCTGCAACAAATGTATATCTTTTAGGTTTATTTAGATTTATGGTTACTGATCTAGCTTAGTTGTGCCATGCTATTTAGAGAAAACTATTTTTTTGCCAAACCTCTTGTAACATACTCTGTTCTATTCACTTCACAACATTAAAAAAAAATTTAAAATAATTTAAAATCAAATAAACTATTTTTCAGACCCGGTTGGTGCTATTATACCTGAGATGTGTAAGAGACGAAGTCGACAAAAGATAATAGAAAAACTGCTCAGTATGGGGCTAGTGTCTGACAGGAAAGAGTTGTTTAAGAAGCGAGGAAAGTCCGGGGCGAGGTCAAGGGGTCACTGGAATAGGTCAGATGATGAAAGTGGTGATGAAGGTTAATATATTTGTTATATCTTGTATTGTTACATACATTCACTTTGTTGTAAATTATTGTCTTTAATAATACCAAAATATGATGTTTGTTACAAAAACTGTAAAGCTATATGGGTAACTATACAGATTTTCTTGAAGAGAATAAGTTTGGATATCCCTCATTGAGGAAGGAGCAGAGACTTTGGTACAACAAATTATTCTTTGTTAATTAGCTTCATTGTTTACTTAAAAATATGTTTGTTTAAAAGATAAATGAGAGACATCAATATAGCATTCCTTGAAAAGCATGAGAAAATGTTAAACATGCAGTAGATACATGTACATGTTTTCTTAATTAAGGTATGCGAGAACTACCATCTGACATTGATGAGGGTCACAGTGACAACAATAGTGATGTAAGCAGTGTCAGTGGTAGCAGCTCTGATAGTGGGGATGAAAGTAGGCGTGGCTCTGATGATGACAGTGATGATAATGATTCTAAAAATAGATCATCTGACTTAGCAGACAATATGACAGCAATTATTACAGGCTTAGTTGAAAAAGGTATGACAATAGATTTAGAAATTCAAACTTTTCTTATTATTTCACATTGATTGTGGTATGAGATCAATCAGTTTGCTTTTTCCCAATTTTACAAAATTAATGCTTTTGATCCAAAATAATTTTCAGTTTCCTTTCATTATCTCCCCAATGGTATTACACTTTCAACTCAAATTTAACATATGGATATGTCAAAGGAATACTCAGCTCAAGTCCGAATTTGTTCATGGTTCGATGATTTTTGGCAGAGTTATGCCCCTTTCACTTTGAAAATAATATGAAATTTTCAGTTTCCGTTCGTTATCTCCCCAACAGTATTACACATTCAACTCAAATTCAACATATGGATATGTTAAAGAAATGCGCAGGTCAAGTTTGAATTTGGTTATGGTTCAATGATTTTTGGCAGAGTTATGTCCCTTTCACTTTGAAAAAAAGGAAATTTTCAATTTCGTTCATTATCTCACCAAAAGTTGTACATTTGTACAACTCAAATTAAACATATGGATATGTCATAAGAAAACACTGGACAAGTTCGAATTTGGTCATGGTTTGATGATAGCTGACAGAGTTATCCCTCTTGAACTGAGACAAAAATCAGAATTTTTTAGTTTCCGTTCATTATCTCCCCAATGGTTTTACACATGGATCTCAAATTTGACATATAGGTACATCTTAGGAATAAGCAGTTCAAGTTAGAATTTGGTCGTGGTTCAATGATTTTAGACAAAGTTATCTCTCTAGAATGTTGGAAAAAATTTGAATTTTCAGTTTCAGCACTCATACTTTTGTGGAAATGTATGTATTCATTATTTTGGCTACAAATATGCAATATGCAATTTACAAAAGGTTAACACTTAATAGTTTCAGTACCTTGAACTTTGTATAAAAATGGTTTGTGTTTACATTGAAAAGTTTTAAGGGCTTTGAACTTAAAATGAAAAAAAATAGTTTGTACAAACAAATTTGGAACTAAATATTGTAACATCTGAAATTTTGGCTGCATGCGGGGGCATCCGTGGCGTGATGACACATTTCTAGTTTTATTCTGCCTTTTGTTAAACCTTAAACATGTTTTAGCAAAACTTAGCTTTCATTTTTCTTGGTTTAAAAATCTTGTTAAGATAATGAAGGTTTCTTCATATTTTATGATAGGTTATAAGGATCAGATAGCTTGGATACAAAGGGGACTTAATCGCACTGCAGATGATCGCGAGGAGGAAGGTAAGAGTTCATCCCCTTTCATTCTAAAGCAAAGTTATAAAACTTTACTCATGCTGAAGTACACACTTAGAGCAGAATGATTGTATTAATACATATTTCTCTTTTTTTTAAATGCTTTTTGTTTTTAGAGAATGTTGAATCCTCATGTTCACTCTAAATATCAAATTTTAAGATCCATATTATACAATTTTTTTTTTGTTTAAATGAAAGACTATATAGAGGATATTGAATGAGTGTAGTTTAATACTAAATTTATTGAACAAGTTGAATAAAATCATATTATGCGAGCCTCTGGCGAGCATAATATTGTTTTATTCAACGAGTTCAATAAATTTAGTATTGAATGTACACGAATATGATATTCTATTTATCACATATGTAAAATAAGAACAGTAAACTGTTAAAATGAGTAATTTTTCAACGAGCACCCATAGTGTAACGCTAACATTAGCGCGCTTTAACGCTTTGTTTCCATATAGCGCAAATGACGTCACGTCAGTGTTATTACACTAGTGTAATATCGTTATTATTAAATGGCTTTATTACACTCCTGCGCCGCGGTTTATGTGATAAGTCCATTTAAAGTAATGATTTTAAAGAAATGACAGATGTATGCTTGATGGTCCCAAACAGATCAAACATGTTTGCTACTGTTATATCTGTCTTACAGCAGTCCTTTTATATACTCCCAGTAGATGGTTAAGATAACTTTAAAAAGTACATAATATTTTTATGCTCAACTTTGAAAAATGTGGGGTTTTATTGACTAAACACCTTTGTTTTTGGAGATGATAGGTCATTTTTGGAGATGATAGGTCAATGGTTTTAGAATTTACTGTCCTTGAACCGATAAAAATTGCAGGAAATTATTTAAGCTGAGTATTTAAATTAGTCAAATTTACATGTTTAAATTAAGGATTTTTATAATAATTCAGTACATAATGGCAAGATGATATACCAAATAAGTGAAGATAAAATGAATATTATATAATTATAGATGAGGATGTAGGAGTGCCGATAGTTCCTCTAACGGAGGAGAACGAGACTGCCATGGAGGACAAAATGTTTCTATCTTTCCTTAGTAAAATTGGTCTAGCTCCACCGGCTAATGAACAGGTTCACTTTTAGTTCCAATTTATTCTATGATCAGCAAAAAATACAGATTTTTCAGACACTTTTTTATTGAAAATATTTTTTTTATTGTAAAACATGAATCATTTTCTATAATCTTTGAATAAATATTGTATGTGAGAGGAACTGTAAGATTTTCAACATTTATAAATATATAAGTGGCTTTGAAGTGGTCTTCATGGACTTGCTGGTACTGATGTCACATGGGTAAACAAAGTCAAGGTCACAAACGTCTCAAATCCATGACCATTGTCATTCTTGTAAATTAGTAACAGAAATGGTTTCGCATTATCAAGCACTTAATCAAATTTTATTCTACTATAGATATACGGATAAAATTTTGTTAGTGATACATGTGTTATCATTTTATATATTAATAGTTTTTATTTATTGCTAGGAGGCATTTTGGAGAATCCCTGCAGAATTAAGAGTGGCTGAGCTTCGTAATATTGCCACAGGTTTAGTGTTAGATGAAAATAACCATCCTGTTAATGCAGACAGAATTCAAATAAAAAAAGTGGAGAGAAAAAAGAAACAAAAGAAAGAACGAAAGAGAAAAAAGGAAAAGGTACCAAAACAGAAGAAGAATGCCAGCAAGTTTGCTGCTTTAAAAGAATTGGTGAAAAAGAAATCAGAGGCTAAGAAAACAAAAAGGTAAGTGTCTAATATTGATGAAGTTATTTGTATATTGTGTATATGAATCTAAATATTTAAGAGGTGTTGTAGTGAAAAAAGATTACATGATGGTGAGTCAGCTTCGCTGATTCAACTTCTACATAACTTGCAGAAATACAACTGTTACAATTTCGAGGTACACTCTGTAGATACACTCTGTGGCTAAATCAAAGTCATAACTCAACATATTTCTTTGCAGCCAATGTCACATTCTTTCCTTTTACATGCAGGTGTCAATTTATGTGCATGTTTGTATATGTGTATATCTGTAAACCAAATGAAGTCCTGTAAAATACATAAATGTCAATCCTTTAGAGAAATTTAAACCTTACTGTATTGCCCAAGGCCCATATGTAAAATTTACACATATAGGTCAATGTTTAAAAGATTGAAAAATACTAATGGTGTCAAATTTTGAATGATTTTTTTAGAATTTATTTTGCCTGATAAGTTGATACATTATGCACAAATTCAGATCTATAGCTGCAAGGTAAAGTCTAGCATAGTCATTCACGAAAAATACATTATTTCGATCCATGTCATTAGCAAATATATCCCTATATGTCAATATTAATTGATGGAAAATGTTTAAATACTGAAATTTGCAGGATAAGAAAAAAGCCTGCTTCTGATGAAACTGGTTCCTTGAATGACAGGGTAGATTCACCGGTAAGAGAGAATAATACTGAGAACCAGTCCAGAAATTCTTCAAGTAAAAAGAAGAGAGTAAAGATGGTGTCATCCTCTGATAGTGATAGGTAATTTATATGATATACTATTATACTTGTAATTTTTATTATTGTATCTTTAAACAGTTTTACTGCACTAACAAGGAAGACATTTATTAAACATATATTGTATTTACAATAGAATTGAGGATTTTGTGTTAAAGGAACTCAATTGGAGGTCCAAAATATATATTTATATAAAATTTCATGTCATGTTGTAAGCTACCTTACATGAAATAATCTAAAGTTAACATTTGTGAACAGTTACTGTCTTAGACTACTATCAATAGATAGTTATCATATGACAGCAGTGTCGGTGTTACTGAAACCCAATCAAAAAGCTAGATTTTTGTGTCTATGCAATATTTATGGCATATTTACACTGTAGTATTTTTTCATTATTGTTTTAGTGATGATGATAAGTCTGTGACCAGTCAGAGATCAGGAGTCCAGTCTACAGTTACAGGAACACAGTCTGATAGTGAAGCCAGGACACAGTCACCAGAGAGAAGTATGGCTGGTTCCCAGATATCTCATTCATCACAGAAAAAGAGACTGAAGAAGATCGTTTCATCTGATAGTGAGAGGTGTGTATCCTTATCTTCTATCATAAAATTTAAAACTGAATAAAAAGTCGTCTTTATTTATTAGAGACATGTATTGGGTTTTCTGTTGAGCCTGCTTGCGGAGAGCTCAACATAGTTGTCACAATTGCGGTTTAGTGTATGTACGTTAAGCCATCAGTCTGGATTATGCATGTCTGCAGCATAACTTTGTCATTAGTCGGCAGAATTTCAAATAACTTGGCACAAATGTTCACAATAATGAGACAGTGTGTCGTAGGCAAGAAACATGTGGCTAGGTTAAAGGTCAAGGTCATATTTGAAGGTCGAATGCAAAAAAAATGGTCTCAAACAGCATGTGATGAAATGTTCCCACAAAGGATGTTAATGAATTGTTCCCTTTTCAAATTCTTAAAAATAAAAATCATCATATTTAATTTACATTTAGATACTTTGTTTCCATATCTATCAAAGAATTTCATAGTAACAATTTGTGTACATTTTCAGTGATAATGATGAGCCATTGAAAAACTTAGCAACGGAGACACAGTCTAATTCTGACTCAGATGATGATGTTCCATTGAAAAATTTAGCAACAGAGACACAGTCTAATTCTGACTCTGATGATGATGTACCGTTGAAAAATTTAGCAACAGAGACACAGTCTAATTCTGACTCTGACGATGATGTTCCATTGAAAAATTTAGCAACAGGGACACAGTCTGATTCTGATGAAGATAAGGAAAACCAGTCACAGGATTCTAAGAGTCAGCCATTATCATTTTCATCAAGCAGTGATGAGAGTGACCAAGAAAATGGTAAATCCCCCTGTGATTCTGTTTGCATCATGTGAAGTTTACATTTCAGATCATTCATCTAAACTCTTATGTAATCTGAGACATGATAACTCTCTTGTCTAATTGAGGTTTGATAGCTGATTCCTACTTCCTCTTCTTCAGCTCGCTACTGATAATGTTTTGCATAAACAAGTTGTAAAATCTGAAATGAGAGGCAATTATAAATGTTTAAAAAAAATTTAGAAACAAGTGTTGAAAAAGTATTACTAAAAAGAAATGCAAATATTTAAAAGCATGGAACATTACATAGCATTATTTTAAAAGTCTCTACACTTAAGAGAGAGATAACTTTCTGTCTCTATTTTGAACATTCTGTCTCTATTTTGAAGGTTCTACAAAAGGACGAGACACCCCTTCAAGCAAGTCAGCTAGTCAGTCAAGCAAGAGGTCAAGGTCAAGTGATTCTGAGTCAGAGGTCAGCCAAGGTCAAGCTAAAAAAGCAAGAATAATGGATAGTGATAGTGATGATGATAAACCAGTTCCCTCAGCCACTGAAGGTAATTCTGTTTCTATAATAATTTATGGATTGTAGCTGACATCATAGTTTCTAAAACTGAGATTTTGTCATTTTTTTAAAAAAAAAACATCTTCAGGAACTTTTATCTTCTTTTTCATTTATTCTTTGAGTTATTAAAACCATCTTTTCATTCTTTTCATATATTTATTTATACCACATTTTGATTAAACATTTTCAAAATTAAACATATACCATGCAATGTTATAAATTTGTTTTATTTTTAGTTTACCTGTCACAAAGTGACAATTTTGTGAGTGCTTTTCGTCCCTCGTCCCTCTGTAAACTTTTACTTTAAACAACATCTCCTCATAAACTGCTGAGCCAATTTAATCCAAACTTCACAGGAAAAATGTTCAAAGAATTTAATTTAATTTAATTCCATGCAGAACTCTGGTTGCCAAGTTAACCGAAAGAAAAAACTTAAAATATCTTCTTTTAGAAAACCAAAAGAGCTAGAGCTTAAATCTTTGGCATGAAACATCATCTAGTCAGTGTCTACCAAGTTTGTTCAAATAAATGCCCTGGGGTCAAAATTGGCCCCGCCCCGGGAGTCATTGATTTTCCTTATTTGTATATAGTAAAATCTTAAAAAATCTTATTTTTAAAGATCTAAGATATTAAGCATGAAACATCTTCTAGTGTGTGTCTACCAAGTTTGTTCAAATAAAAGCTCTGGGGTAAAAATTGGCCCCACCCCGGGGGGTCATTGGTTTTCCTTATTTGTATATAGTAAAAACTTAAAAAATCTAATTTCAAAAAACCAAAATAGCTAGAGCTTAGATATAAAGCATGAAACATCTTCTAGTGGGTGTCTACCAAGTTTGTTTAAATAAAAGCCATGGGGTAAAAATTGGCCCCGCCCCCGGGGGTCATTGTTTTTCCCTTTATGTATATACTCTGGTAGTAAAAACTTAAAAAATATTCTTTTTAAATCCCCAAAGAGCTAGAGCTAAGATATTTAGCATGAAACATCTTCTAGTGGGGGTCTACCAAGTTTGTTCAAATAAGGGCCATTGGGTTATAATTGGCCCTGCTCCAGGGGTCATTGATTTTTCTTATATGTGTATAGTAAAAACTTAAAAAATCTTCTTATAAAAAACCCAAAGAGCTAGAGTTTAGATACTAAGCATGAAATATCTTCTAGTGAGTGTCTACCAAGTTTGTTCAAATAAAAATAAAAGCCCTGGTGTCAAAATTGGCCCACTCCCAGGGGGGGGGGGGGTCATTGTTTTTACTATATGTATATAGTAAAAACTTTAAAATCTTCTTATAAAAAACCCCAAAGAGCTAGAGCTTATATATTTATCATGAAACATCTTCTAATGGGTGTCTACCAAGTTTGTTCAAATAAAAGTCCCTGGTTTAAAATTGGTCTTGGCTCGGGGGCCTATATACAGGTGAGCGATTTCAGGGCCATCATGGCCCTCTTGTTTAAGTGCATGCAATTTGTTGCTGAAAAACATTTGAAACTTTACTTTTTCAAGTTATTTATTTCTTAATAATACAATATACCATTCCAAAACTATTGCCATAATAAATTTGATAATATTGTTTACTTTCTGACAGTTTCTAAACATTTTTAGTCTAACCACAAATTTACTGTTTGACTCTGATTCTTTGGATTATTCTTAAGATAATCAGTATTAAGATAATTATACTGTGCAACTTTGGCAGAGTAGTCTGTTGTTGATCAGTAAATTCTTTTGCAATTCTTTTCAATTGCTATCATTTCTTCCAAAAGTAAAATTTCACAAAAGATTTGATCTCTCTGGATTAACTCCACTCATTATCAACCAGAATCTGTGATTGATGTTTTGCAGAGGGTTTACCGTATATGTTATATGTTTTCAGGTAGTTTCCCAGCAACACTTTACCGTATATGTTATATGTTTTCAGGTAGTTTCCCAGCAACACTTTACCGTATATATTATATGTTTTCAGGTAGTTTCCCAGCAACACTTTACCGTATATGTTGTGTGTTTTCAGGTAGTTTCCCAGCAACACTTTACCGTATATGTTGTGTGTTTTCAGGTAGTTTTCCAGCAACACTTTACCGTATATGTTATATGTTTTCAGGTAGTTTCCCAGCAACACTTTACCGTATATGTTGTGTGTTTTCAGGTAGTTTTCCAGCAACACTTTACCGTATATATTATATGTTTTCAGGTAGTTTCCCAGCAACACTTTACCGTATATGTTATATGTTTTCAGGTAGTTTCCCAGCAACACTTTACCGTATATGTTGTGTGTTTTCAGGTAGTTTTCCAGCAACACTATATACACAGGGGCAAGAGTCAGATTCTGATCTAGATGATCATGTACCTTTGAGAAAAGTTATACAGAAAAGGAAAATTATAGAAAGTGATGATGATGAATAAAGTATTGTCTACACCCATAAAACTCTTACTTACTTTGACATGTGCAAGTCTTGAAAACTGTAAATATATGTAAACTTATGAACACTATATATATTATAAACAAGAGTTAATTTATTTATGAACGCTTGATATATAGACATGTGTTTACTTACACACACTGAAATATATTGACCTGTGAACATTGAAGTGTGTTAAGTTATGAACATTGAAAAGATGACCTATTGCAACTGTAGAGATGGAAATAATTATTAATGTCATTAACAATACAATATATTGATGAAAGGTGACATTATCACAATAACGGTACAATTTATAAAAACTTATTTGTAGGCGCACATATTGATTTCACTTCCCTAGACAGTGTAATATTTTGAACTAAAGAAAACATTATCAGAAAAGTTAACTTACTTGCTATTCTTTACCAATATTAATATTAACTTAATTGCTATGGTAACATGATTATTAAGGGGTAAATAATAACGTTGTTTACAAAAATTTTCTTTAAGGTTTCTTTTTTAGCTCACCTGTCACAAAGTGACAGGGTGAGCTTTTGTGATCGCTTTTCGTCCAGCGTCCGTCCGGCGTCCGTCCGTAAACTTTTACTTTAAATGACATCTCCTCATAAACCACTAAGCCAATTTCATCCAAACTTCACAGGAATGTTCCTTTGGTGGTCACCTTTAAAAATTGTTCAAAGAATTTAATTCCATGCAGAACTCTGGTTGCCATGGCAACCGAAAGAAAAAACTTTAAATATCTTCTTTTAAAAAACCATAAGAGCTAGAGCTTAGATATTTGGCATGAAACATCTTCTAGTGAGTGTCTACCAAGTTTGTTCAAATAAAAGCCCTGGGGTCAAAATTGGCCCCGCCCCGGGGGTCATTGATTTTCTTTATATGTGTATAGCAAAAACTTAAAATCTTCTTTGAAAAAAACCCAAATAGCTAGAGTTTAGATATTAAGCATGAAACATCTTCTAGTAAGTGTCTACAAAGTTTGTTCAAATAAAAGCCCTGGGGTCAAAACTGGCCCGGCCCCAGGGGTGTCATTGTTTTTAACTATATGTGTATAGTAAAAACTTAAAAAAAATCTTCTTTTAAAAAGCCCAATGAGCTAGAGCTTAGATGTTTAGCATGAAACATCTTCTTATGGGTGTCTACCAAGTTTGTGCAAATAAAAGCCCTTCGGTTAAATTGACCCTGCAACGTTGGGGGGGGGGGGCCTATATACAGGTGAGCGACCTCAGGGCCATCATGGCCCTCTTGTTTAAAAAAACAACATATTGCTTTCTGCTTGAAATTGTGGGAAATTGAAATATTTGATGTCTTTTCTGAGATTTTTTTTTGAATATATACATAGATGTTACCGGAATGTGTTTATTTGTATTATCACAATATATACATTGGTATTACCAGAATGTGTTTATTTGTATTATCACAATATATACATTTGGGTTCAGAATGTGTTTATTTGTATTATCACAATATATACATTTGTATTACCAGATTGTGTTCATATTTATATAAGAATAAAGGTGTCTACCAATATTTTACTGTGTGTTTTAAACTTGTGGTTCATTAATTTTTCTTGCCTCAACCAAAGGTAATGGTTTGTGAAAAATTAAATAACACACTCCTGATAAATGTATGTTTAAATCCTACCACGGAAGTGTCAGAGAAGGAATCCGCATTAGTTGATGTAACAAGACAAAGTTTTTAAACCTGGGATGATTGCCCATGGCCAGTGTTCCCCTAGTCATTTGATCAATGGTCACAATGACGCTTTCAATCCATGTAAAGTTCTTGTTTATATCTTGAGAAGTACATGCAATATGACTTAGTTTATGAAACTTTAGAGGGAACATTGCCCATGGTCTCTAGGAGACTCAAATTGATTTTTGGTCATGGTCGCTGACTAATAAAATACTTGTCATATATGAACAAGTTTCCTACTGGTTTCAAATTGAATACAGTTTTATGTTACCAGTATATGCCTGTTAAGGACAAAATGGTCGTTCAAGTTTCTAAAAATGAAATGTATATTATAAAGACATATCAGTAGGCAATAAATTTTTCAATTCTGAGAAAATAATTTTAAAGAAAAGTTGTTTGTCGAATTGCCACTTTCGTTCTCTTATTTAAGACCCTTTAAGTTTCCAATACTTTTATTTTTTAAAAGCTTCTTATTCTTAACGTTACAGTTTCCTTAACGGTATTCACTGGACATATTTATACATGTATATGTCCACCCAAACAAAAAATGGAAAACAAAATCGTGCCAAAATTAGGGTTTTCCTGATTTGTTAGATTATTTGTGTATGATAAATGAATCGCAAATAAATCGGGTTTTAGAATAAAATTATAGCCAATTAATCACCGATTTATTGCAAAATATCTCATAAGTAGATTCTATTTCGAGTTTTTATGAACATAATTTGTAAGCGATTGATTGGTCTTTATATTCGAAATTCCTGATATGTAACTGATTCATTAAAAATATAATCATTTATTACAGATTAATCACACTTAAAGTTTTATCAAAGAAGTAGATTCTACTCCTCCATTATTCTAATATGCTATTTTTTTTTTTTTTGTAATCCCGTACGAAAATTCCAACGTAAAGTCACTTTTTCGAGGCGTAAAACACAATGGTTTAAGAGCAAGGAAAAAAACAGAAAAGTATGGGCGTTAATTTCCATAATAACTGGTGGGCGTGTATATTGTCAAAAATGCCCAATTTACGCCCGTAAAATTAAAATTACGGCTGTAAAAGTGTATATTTAGTTTTCTTTTGATCATTAATAAAGCTTTAAGGACAAACGAGCCCTTAAAAGCAATTGTGACCATAATTTTTTTACAAATTGCTGCTTTTATAAACTCAGTTTTCAATTAATACAGAAATAGGTGCACTGCAGAAGTTGTGTAAAAAAGCGTCCCTGTTTAAAGCTCTTTCTCAGATAACGTACCTTACCTAATTTTATTTTGTATCTTCCGAAATGTGGTTGCTATGGTAACAGTAATAGTAAAGCTTCAATGAAATTCGATATTTACATACACAATATGTCGCATTTGTTCAATCAAAACCAAATATAAAATATGGACCAATATTAGTGCAATCGAATCAATATTGAAACCTTGTTTTTAACGATGAAAGTAATAAGGGATTGTTTAATTGTAAATATTTATGTAGAAATTCAAAGATGATGTGACAAGGAATAGGTCATGTAAGGATTTCGTGATGTAATTATTAAATAGCTACGGATAATTGTCAATATTTTTTGCCAGTCGTTATAGTAATAATTGCTCCAGAGAAATTAGACAATCTGACTAACACTTGACTTTCAGTTGTATTCAGTAAACATTAGCCATACACAGTTATTAGCTGAAAGACATACAATTTTAATGTACATAACTAGAGCTACATGATTCACAACAAGTTCAAATTTCTGCAATAGTCGAACTAAATCTAGATTTTTATTAGCCAAGTAAATGCAAATTAACAATGATGATAATTCTATAACGAAGGTAGCTTATTAAGACAACACATCAAGGCACCAAAGATGACACATATAATGCAACATTTTATTTTCAATAAAGCCTTTAAATAATTAAAACATTTAGAAATTACCCTTGTGACTGAGGGGTTGATTTTAAAGGTTGAGGCATCCGAATTGCAGGGCAGATTTATCCCTGCGCGACTAAAAGGGTTCGAATTTCTTGTGACAGAATTTCTTATCTCCTGCAGGTGAGTTGGTTTTGACCCCTGCTTTTGCTTCAAGTTTGTGACACCTATATAGATTAGCCAAAATGATATGTCTTGTTTCGGCGCTTAAGTTGTATTGTAAGCAAGAACATTGTTGTTAGCAAGTAAATTGTTTACATATTACCATTCTTGATAATTCTGACAGTTCTTGTTTGCAGTTTCCTAATCACTTTAAGGTCTGATTCTTTTCTTTGGGACTTTTCTTTACAACCATAATAAAATATGGGGCTTTTAATCATTGTAATCATTTTTTCATTTTAGGTGTAAGAGAAGGCTGAATTCTTTTCAATAAGGATATTTCGAAACAAGCTCAGTGCAAGTTAGTTAAAGTTTAATAAATATATGTTTTCCAAGCTAGATATCTTTTTCTGATTTCGTAGTTACGGACAATCATTTACACATAGAAGAAACAGTATTGAACATGAGATTGACCCTTGTGGTACGCCTGATGTAAGGGATAATCTTTAAGATGTATAACAATTTGCTCTCTGTCATAGAGATATCATTGGGAAGAAATGTAGATTGTTTCAGAAAGATGATGATAAAGTTTTGGCTTATGGATCAGTATTCAAAATTTGCTAAGGATCACCTTTTTGACATTGCATATTTCAGTCCTATTAAAATCAAATTTCCGCTAACGATACACCTGTACAGGGACCTCATAATCCTGTACTTAAGTTATCGATTTGTCATATACACCTTGCACGATAAGCACGTGCAAAAGCATACCCATGGAAATTTGGTGTTTTGCTTTCACTTAAACGTGTATAAGCAGCAAGACTTCTCTCGTTTTATTAAAAAACTGTGTTCGAAATTAACGAACAATGGCAAATCGACAAGTTAGACGTCGTCTTAGTGAAGATGAGATGAACAGGCGTATTGGAATGTTGGAGACTGGCCGTTCACAAAGGCACGTTGCCCATGTCCTTGGGGTATCCCAGAGTGTTGTCTCCAGGATGTGGAACCGATTCCAAATGACTGGAAATGTCTTGCAGGGCCACGCCGGAGGTGAGGAACGTTAAACGACTAAAGCCCAGGACCGATTTATTGTCCCTCAGGCAAGCCGCCAACGGTTCTCGAACGCTACGACCTTACGTAACGACTCCCAGAATGCAGCTGGTGTGCGTGTAAGCACACGCACACATACTGTTAGAAACTGGTTGCATGATGCTGGGTTGAGGTCACGGAGGCCAGCAATTCGCATTCCTTTGACACAAAGCCATATTCAAGAGCGTTTGCAATGGGCGCAGACTCATGTCACATAGACAGTTACGATTGGACTCTGATGAGTCAAGGTTTTGTGTGGACTTCACGGACAGACGGGCTAGGGTTTGGAGAAGTCCAAATGAACGCTTAGCTCCAGCATGCGTTACAGAACACGACCGTTTTGGCGGGTGTTCAGTCATGGTGTTGGCGGGATCAAGCGCTTAGGGGAAAACGGACCTACACATCATTGAAAACGGTAAACTGACGGCAGTAAAGTACGTCAATGAAATCTTAGATGTCCATGTACACACGTATGCTAGCGCAGTCGGTCCTGATTTCATTCGTATGGATGACAACGCCCGTGCACACAGAGCCCACATCACAAACCGATATCTTGAAGAGGCAATTATAGTCCGCATGGATTGGCCAGCGAGGTCCCCGGATTTAAATCCAATAGAGCACGCTTGGGATATGCTGCAGAAAGCCCGTCCAACCAAATACAGTTCAGGAGCTAAGACATGCAATAATAGAGGGATGGGCTCAGATATCTCATTACAAAGTCCGCAGGCTCATCAGACCGTAATACTCGGTATTAATTACCTGACGCCAACCATTTACTCATTTGCAAGATTTTTTTATTCCACTATGTGATCTCCAAAATGTTGATTTTCGTCCAGCACACTCTTTACGCAACAGGCACATGTCAAGGAAGATTTCCATTGTCATTATTTTTATAAAAAATCAATTCCTAACTTATTATATTTAAATCCTTTTAATCAATTTTGACATTTATTACAATTGCACAAAAGTAACGCACTGTAGAAAAAGTGATCCTTAGCAAATTTTGAGTAGTATTTTTCCATAATCAATATTTATGAAAAAGGAATCTATAATGCAGATCAAAGTCCCATGACAAGTATGATAACGGGTGCTCTTTTATGGTGATAACTGTTAAGTTTTTTGCAATGTGACTTATAAATATTTTTGAAAATGTTGGAAGAATAGGAGCGTCCGATAATTTTTTGTGTTTGACTTTATGTAGAGGTATAACACTTTCTAGTTTTAGTTTAACTGGGAATATTCCTCATGAAATAATATTATTTTTATACTCTCATTTTTATATTTATTTACGATTGTTATATAAGTCAATTAAATATAAAACAAGTCAATGAATGCCAAAGATATAGACTGGGCATGGCAACGTTTCAAGTGTGGCGTAAGCTGAACGTTAAGCTGGATACCCGATTCTTGCTCACGACACATCGTCATCATGTCCAACACGCATAGTTATTTTAGAATCCTTATATAGTAATGACATAATGTCCGGATATTATCATTAGTGTACTTTTATAAAAAAAAGAATTCTTATCTTAACAATGGCGTACAAATATGACAATTGCATTTTAGCTGAAGGCGCCACGCGTTGTCATTATGTACAACAAATTAAAACTTGTATACATATATATAGGTGCTTTAAAAAACCACCTAAAATAAGAGCATTGTTTACCGGACACGGACATCATTGCAATTTTATTAAATTGTCAGTGTGACATAGAGACCTTGGTCTTGCGCACGACACAACGGACAGAAGATAGCGCGGATAAATGGACGAAAGGCGATTAAAAAAATTTCAATGATGAATGAATGAATATGTTGCGACAATCCATATCAACAGTTTTATAAGAACTGTTATGTAAATTTCAGACTTCCTTGGACACTTCTTTTACACAGAAAACTTTCCTCCATAACTATCTGTTCTGTGAACTGTGAAGCCACATTGCTTCGCTATCGATTATTGACATTAAAAGAAATTTATTGAAAATCCATTTGTTATAATTTGTTGTTTTAAGAAAATTCTTTCATCCAACTATTACAATATCCTCTTATTATAAAAACAATACATCACACACTTTGATCAGTTGTTTTTTTTCTCACTCTAAAACGTTTGAGTATTGGCTCTGAGAGACAAAAAGAGAAAAGCAAAAAAAGAACAATATACATAAGTCCTTAATTTAAAATGGTATGTTTGTCAAGAAAAAAACATTGGGTATATTACGTTCAGAGATAACCGACTAAATTGAAATACAAGGAATTTCACATGGCACTTATTTTTATATAATTGAGATGGAATACAAAATCATTTTAGATCTATCCAATAATTTCTGAAAGTATTTTATGATATCTGTAACAGTGCTGGTATTGTAGTAAAACTGTAAAGCACCTTGTTCGTCGCCCGTATAATTTATTTAAAGCTTGTGATAATATTTAGTGTGTAATGTTTATCTTTTCTCAACATGGTTAGTCAATAGTATATTTAGAACATTCATTGGGCACCAGTAAATGACAACACTTGCTGAATACTTAACAAAGGCCAGATTGTTTTCTTATTTCCCTTCAGCATTTTCGATTGGTTTACCTCCTTCTGCATGGACTTTGTGTTAAGTTACTAAACACTTTGCATCACTTTGTTTGAAACAGAATTATGTGACCGGCCAAGATTTATAGAAAAATGATACCAATAGCATACTTTTTCCAATGAATTTTAATCTTAGTATTTATTATGCGTAATATTGTTTGAATAACTTATATAAATATTTTCTTTGTTAATGAAACTACAAATATTTCCATCATCTGGTTCCAATAATTTAATGATTAGGCGCAACAAACATATTTATTTGTGTCGTCAGAAAATCTTTATTGGAAAAATGATTTGATGGCAAGTGGTTAACAATATAGTCTTGTACGTAACCCCCGGTGGCACCGCATCTGTCGCAGTGATATAAACAAACGATGTTAATCGCATACTAATTCTTACACAAACGGTTCACGTCATTGTGGATTACCTGAGGAAATCAAAGACACACACTGCACTCGCTGTCGTAACAAAATACCATTTTCCGGTCAAATTTTATTTAACTAGGAGTTATAGCGGAAACAAATTTGATAGTTACAAATCTGTATTATTGAGATGTAGAATTTTTCTGCCGCTCTTTTACTGTAAAATCCATATTTATTAGACTGAAGTGCGTTGAGGTAAATCAACTTTAACCGTCGCCTGGCAGGTGACAGATTCCCGATTTTTCTTTTTACAGAGACTTTAAAGTGTGAAAAAAATTGTCGAGTTTTTTGTTTCATTGAAACTTTCCTTACATAGAACTGATTTCGTAATTTATAACGGACGAAACAAAATGTAGACACTGATAAACCACGGTAAATGTCGGATGAGATGACTGACGAAATAAAAATGATGCAGAAAGAAATTGTAAGGACTATTGTACTTCTGTATGCAGGTAACTTATTATTTCTTACTTAGGTAAAATATTATTTCACATCTACATGTAGGGAAAATAATCTAAATAAATCATTTTTTTTTCATTTTAATTATTGTTTCACTTTGATATAAAGAGAAGTTAGTGTTTCACTTTATGTTGCAAGTAAATCATTATACTATCTGCTGGTAAATTGCAATTTCTTTTCTTTCTTTTTTTTTTGTTTGAAAATGAGAACTTCTTTAATTTTTATTTTCATAAATGAAAATAAGGACTTTTTTGTAATTAAATCTTGGCTAAACTATGAATTTTTTTTTATTCGTGAACATTTCGACTCATTTATTTATTATCTTGAGTAGAGTATTATTTTTTCGTTTTGATGGTTAGGACTTTCTTTGGAAACTATTGTGTATAAACTATTGTGTATAAACTATTGTGTATAAACTATTGTGTATTATCTTTTCTTTTTAAAAATTGCGATTTTTCTTATTTTTTATATATAGTAAACTATAATTCCTCTACTTTATGTAGGTTTGTTATTATTTCTCATCTCAGTGCAGGATAACTATTTTTATATGTTCCCTATGCAAGAAGATGTGTATTTTTCTGTATCATCATTTCAAGTAAACTAATTGCTTCACTATGCTGGTTTGCATTACATAATAATTTCAAATAAATTTCTATTTATTGATCTTCACTACGCATTTTTTCTTAACTTTAGTAAACTTTTATTTCTCTTCTTTTTGCATGTAAATTATTATTTCTCTTTTCTGTGACTGGATTGTTATTTTTATTAACAAGATAATAAAGTATTTTTATATCATATTTTGAAAAATAATTTATATTGGACCTCACATGATATTGTTAAAAAAAACGAGTCTACCAACGAGTTCAAGAAATTTAGTAGTGAAGCTGTTTGGAATAAAAAAATGTTCTTTTCTTTCACTGACTCGCTCATAGTTTAACTCAATCATTTAGCGCGTCTTTACATTAAGTTTGTATAACGGAAATGACATCACGTCAAAATAATAAATGCACGTGCATATATTTCGAAGGTTCAACATATTCCTTATACTAAGTAAAATATGAGAATAAAGATCGCCAAGGAAAGGCAGACTGGGTCGGCTGAATTTCTTTTACCATGAACCTTTTACTCGATACCAATTTCCGTCATTCCATTTGCTAATTGTTAGCGTTAGTGAAAAATTTTTTTGTCTGTATAAACTGTCCTATCATGTAAATGTAAGTAAATGGAATCAGCATCATCATCATCATCATCATCATCATCATCATTATTATTATTATTATTATTATTATTATTATTATTATTATTATTATTATTATTACATTGTATTATGCAAAGTGAATGTGTAATGGCATTTGATAACGGCGATTTTCCCGATTTAGCTCTCTGTTTAACCCTTTTTATAGCCCTGTGAAATGGCAACTTCTTATATCAATATTTTGTTTGTTAGAATAATGAATAATAAAGCTCTATATAGGAAACATATAACATGAAACATATACAGTACTATATCTTTTATGGTTCCAGTATTTTTGATAGATTTACATATTTGTAGTTTTCACTACACGTCACATTTTTAAGCGATATGATTTTATGTCACACTGATAAAATCTATAGTATTTATCTAATCATTTTACAAAAGAAAAATGAATTATTCATGAAACTTTAATGCCACCTGCGTTTGTATTCGTCCATTCATATAGTACATGGAAAATGTACAATAGAAATTAGCATGCTTTCCAAACACTGTGATAAATTGAAGCAAATAAGCATACGTCTTAAATTGATCAATATGAAAATAAGGTATGGGGTCCTGATGAAAATTTCTTACTCAATAAATTAAGCTTGTTTATATGACACCAGGAAACATCAACATTTGATTATGATTAACGAAGGATACTGTAAAGTGACTTGATGCAAGTGTAAAAAAGAACATTCATTTTAATTGTCTTGTTTTACCTTTGAATACATTGCAGTTGTATGATTGTTTAAATTACACTTTTTTACAACCAAAAATGAATATGAAATTGAAAAGCAAGTATTCGTTGAAATTTGTCAATTGTCATTTATATTCAAAAACGTATGGCAGGCATGACCGGTATAATATGTAAATTAACGTGTATATATTTACAATTCATATAATTTAATTTAATGTATATTATGTATATTATTGTTTTAGATTTGAATTTTGCTTTTTATTTTTAGTTGGCATTTTGGCGAATGCTGAAGGTAAGTCAAGAATGCCCTTTTTTAAATGGCCTTTGTTTTTTTTATTATACAGTCACATTGTCTTTCCATAATTGTGTTTTGGTAGGGATGTTGTAACGTATTATTCAATTCCAGTAAAAGAAACATCTATATTTGGCATCTAATGTTTTATCCATAATTGCGTTTATTACAGAAGATTCTGTTAAAATTGATGGCACAGACACCAGAATTAATACAGGCAACTAATATGAGCCGCGCCACGACAAAACAACATAGTCTATCAGTTTCTTTACTTGTTATAGGATCTGTAAGCGAACAGCATGGATCCTGATCAGACTGCGCGGAAGCGCAGGCTGGTCTGGATCCATGCTGGTCGCAAACGCACTATGTTGGTTTTGTCGTGACGCGTTTCATATGTTTCATAATCTTGTATTTATTTGTACTAAATACAAGAATAAAAAACCATGAAAAAAAAAGAAAAAAGAAATAGATAAAAATAAACAAAATCATTGCTTTGTAAGCTACATTTGTAAAATTATTTATTTGTAATTGAAAATACTCATATTGAAAATGTGATTAGTCTTCGTTTACTCTTCATTTTAATCTTGCTTTTATGATGCTTCTTTGGTATACCTTTAATATAGTGAAATCTATCTAGCCAATGAAATATACAATTTATAGATTTTGCTTTTGTTATATCATTTATAAGAAAACAAATGCCCTGATCTGGTAGCGGTATCGAACATGAAACTGTCGGAGACTGTTGGCTGGGTAGGAGACAACCCTGTGACCATCTCATGTGCAACAGGTTATGTATTGGACACAGCAACACTGCAGAAGAATATCACATGTGTGGCCGGGGGTAGTGTAGCAATCTGGAATGATACACTTGGTGTATGTCAAAGTGAGTATCACAGTCATTATTTAAAGACAAAATCATTTACTTTGGTAGTTAAAATACCTTAACTTTAAATAAATTATCAATACATTATTATCTAGTAATGATTATTTATTAGATGTTCTTAATGAGGAAAATGTTATAAAGAAAAAATATGGTTCATACCAAAGAAACAGGGTTTTTTGTTTTTGTTTTTATTTGGACGTTTAAATACTCTATCGATCAGTACATTTTATTATTTATATGATGACCATAGTAATTATGTTCTCAATTGTCAAATAAAGCAATAAAATCATGTGAGTATTCAACATTAAAGTACGATGGACATATTACAAAAGAACACTTTTTATTATTCCCTAGACGAACAAGGATATTTACCGCCCGAGCAAACTTAACTACCATACTGGGATGTTTCTGGACATTGTACATCAATGTTGTAAAGAAAATCAATTTATATCATTTAATTGTTTTTGTCACATAAGAGAATTATTCCTAGATAGTTATGTATTGATATTCTAGAATGCATTAAATAAACTAGTCCTCGAGATACCTCTTATAGATTTTAGAGTAATTGAAACAATTAGCGAAACTATGGGAAATGGTTATAATAGCAGTGCTTCCAAGTATTGGACATTTAAGCAAGAATAAGTAAAAAAGAGAAAAATACAACAAAAACATTGAATATATGTTAATTCACTTTTAGTTTTTTACCCGTTCAATTATTTATACAAACGCTATGACATATTTACAAATATTTCTTTCTAATAATATAGTTTATAAGTCTAACACTGGTTTCAAACAGATTTACAGATCTCCAGAAATCGGTATAAAATTGCTATAAAAGGAACAAAACATATACATGTAATAATCAAATCATTGTGACTTGTAACTATATCAACTGTCATCAATTGTTTTATATGTTATCAAATTAAAAAATATTCTATACAATAATTAATGTTGGCTTCTGTGGCAGGTGAATATATCATTGTCATAAGAATTACATGACCCTTACCGTGGCAGGTCCGCCAAAGACTTTAAATTATTTCATTTCGGTTGGTGGTACTTCACAGGCGCAAAAGCGTCACGTGAGATCTGCCACCATTGATTGGATTTTAGAATATTTAGAAGATGTTCACTATGATCTAAAATATCCCGGTGATTATTTAGAAAGGGCCCGCCGGATAGAGGTCCAATGATGTCTCGCATACGTTTTATTTAAGTATAAAAGACGTAGAAAGAATATTCGTGGAAATTTATATAATATGTATTATCACTTATAGCGTTTTGTCTTATTAATTCGTCTTTAAATTTACGTTATACGTATACTTAAGTTTCTTAATGTAAGAAACAGCTCGTACACATGCTACCTATAGAGCACATTAAAAGAACTCCGGTTAAATAACATTTTAGATTATGACTGATGTTAATGCAGTATTTCACAATATTTCAGAAAAAGCTTGTACAGACATCGACGCCGTTATTGGCTCCACCATGACAGTTGTTGATGGCGTCAGTAATGAATATTTATATGGCAATAATGTGACATTAGAATGTGTAGAAGGGTATGCATTCAGTGTCAACAATGATGTAGTCACCACACAGAAAATAATCTACTGCGATGAAAATGTTAGTTCAGAAAATGGAAGCTGGACAGACATTGGAACCTGTGAATGTATGTATCATTTAATGTTTCATTTCTGAAAACCACATACCCAATGGTGTTAAGAGAGCGTATTATCGCAGTTTAAAAAGTTTCTTTGTTTTCTGATTTTTTTTTTTTTTGGGGGGGGGGGGGTTGGTTTAAGTATTGTTTTTTATTGATTTTTTTTTACTCTTGCTTCGAATCACTTGCACCGATACTTTATACTTTATTATGCAAGGGAGCTATCCAGCTAGCTTGTAGAAGGTACGTGGTTGTACTCGAGTCTGAAATAGTAATGTTTCGTAAATGATGGTTCGCGTGTCACCTGACGTATTCCTCCACACGACTCCTGCATTGTCGATGCCACTTAAGCTTAGCCAAAACATAACACGTCTACAGCCTTTGAAAAATCCCTGACTCAGAAAAATCTTCTATGGCATTTCTGGAATGTCAGCTAAATTGTTTGACTTAAACTATTTATAAATATTACAGTGATATCGTGTGAAACTCCCCCTTCTCTTGACAACTCGGTGAAGGTATATAACAGTACAACATTCAACTCTACAACTGTGTACCAATGTGTATCAGGTCATGGATTCTCAGACACCCGGTTCCATTTTACAGCCTATTGTAATAGTACCGCACAATGGAGTACGCCTCTCAAACCAAATCTTGAAAACTTTCGTTGTTCAAGTAAGTTACTTTTTATATTCTTTACCAAATAAACAGATTGACAAAAATTGTCAGCTCAAACGAGTAATCATTTTATATATCTTGAAAACGAGTAATCATTTTATATATCTTGAGAATAATTGTGAACAGAGTTTCAACTACAAGGGTAGAAGTAATTGGTTAATGCATAATACTAGTACTTTATTTGTAATTTATCAAACAAACTAGCGTCGTTGATGACGCTTTTCGTTTTTCTTTTTCATTCAGCTGAAGTGTTCAAATACTGAAATCAATCAGACCTGTAGAATAAATCGTTTGTGATATTTTTAAAACAACAAACACTCCCCTCTTCACATCATGTTGTGTTAGTAATGAATTATCTCTGCGTGTTCATTATTGTTTTAACTAAATGGCTGCAACGTGCATTTTAAATTTATCAGGTATTGACTAACTGATGTGCAAACAAATGTCACTACTTCTTTCAGATATTTTATTAAATGATCTTTGCAAACAGGCGCTGTCTGAAGATTTTATCTATTTTCAATATTTGCTTGTAAATGGGGGATATTGTTCAATCTGTTCTTTATACCGTGCCACTTATTTCATCTATAATGTGCTTAACTTGATTAAGGTAAAGAGAAATCTAATTGAATCTTTCAATTTAAGAATATTTACATAAATGTGCGAAAGAGTGTTTCGCATTATTGATTTAGTAAATAAATAATCGGCATTTTGCTATAATTTGTACAATAAAGAGAATAAAAATATTTACTAAACCACGATAAACGTAGTGCATTTTATTAATTTTAGAGGAATGATATTTTTAGCTCGACTATTCGATAAGAAAAAGTAGAGCTATTGTAGTCACCTGAGCGTCAACGTAACCACTTATGTTTAAGTTTTTGTAATACCTCAAATATTTTCAAAGTCCATTGACATATGGCTTTGAAACTTTGCACACTTGTTCACCATCATGACCCCAATCTGTAGACAGGAGGAGGTAACTCTATCAAGCATTTTGACAGAATTATGCCCATTTTCGACTCAGAATTTACATTAAAGTTTTTGTTATACCTCAAATATTTTCAAAGTCCATTGACATATGGCTTTGAAACTTTGCACACTTGTTCACCATCATGATCCCAACCTGTAAACAGGAGGAGGTAACTCTATCAAGCATTTTGACAGAATTATGCCCCTTTTTCGGCTTAGAATTTACGTTACAGTTTTTGAAATACCTCAAATATTTTCATAGTCCATTGACATATGGCCTTAAAACTTTGCATGTACTCGTTGACCATCATGACCCCAACCTGAAAACAGGAGGAGGTAACTCTATCAAGCATTTTAAAATATTCAAATATTTTCAAAGTTCATTGACATAAGGCTTTGAAACATGTTGAAATTTATACTCTTCTTTGAGAGCATAATAGGACTCTCTGCAATGCCTATAACTGTAATATGGATTTAAAGAAAAAATTTGCCTTTTTCTTAACTGAGAAAATTTTACCTTTAAATATAGGCTTTTTTACTATCAAGCACTAAGAATAGTCGAGCGTTGCTGTCCTACCGACAGCTCTTGTTATATTTAAGACTATCAATCATTTGAAACATTGATTTAAGTTAATTAAGTATTTACAAATATATGATTGATAAAACAAACGTTTGTAAACATAACAATATAACTCGGCACTATGTATTGATAAAACAATTTATGTGCAAACAAAAGAAATGACAGCATCATAGGGTTTGCCGTTAACCCTGTCTGAACCTCTGTCAGTAAGCGGAATAACGAGTAAGCACGCGCGCTGACCTACGTCAGTCAGTCGAATAACGAGTAAGCACGTGCGTAAACCTACGTCAGTCAGTCGAATAACGAGTAAGCACGCGCGTTAACCTACGTCAGTCAGTCGAATAACGAGTAAGCACGCGCATGAACCTACGTCAGGAAGCAGAATTAAGAGTAAACACGCGCATAAACTAACGCCAGACAGTCGAATAAGGAGTAAGCACGCGTATAAACTTTCGTCAGTCAGTCGGATTACCAGTTAGCTGGGCATGAAACTACACAAGTTTGCCCAGGAACGAGTAAGGACGTGTATGAAATAACATTAGTCAGCCGAGGAACTAGAAAGCACGCGCCTGATGTTTGTAGTTAACACACATTCTAGTCTATCAGATTTCTTTGTAAATCAAAATTTCGATAACTACGTGCATGCGGGATACAAAATGTCTATGTTACTTCGATAAGTCACCAGCTGTATTCCCCTAAGCATAAAGTGTTAAAAAAAAACCTGTGCAATAGACAAAGAAAAGACGAATACAGACAGAGATAGCATTGCACTGCAGGGTCCAATGTAAACCTGGAAGTTGAGTGTCTTGAGACTATTATCAATAACGCTTAAAAATAAAACAACGCTGTTACGGCAATACCGAGTTGACCACATTCAGACTGTCTCTACCGTTGAGGATTCACGCACCTTATTGTCCTTCATCGTCGTCCCAAACGCTTTTGTGAGCCTATCCCTGTCTGAAGAAACATAAAACCAACGGTGGGTTATTTTCAGGATAAGTTGTTTGGAGTATTGAAAGCGGAATATAGATGTAAATGCAATCTTAAATGTGCAGCCTGTCATTTCGCTCCGAAGAAAAAAAGGATTGGTATAGATGTAGCGTACATGAATTTGATTATTCGGCCTTAGTGCAAACGACTTTTTTTAAGATCTGCTTTAGATTCACGTGACTAGTGCATTGATACCAATGAACACTCCATCACAAACAATAACGATATCATGTTTCGTCGAAAAGTATGCATTATTTTGCCGGTCTCGAAATTCGAATACAAATACGACATTGATGTTAAGCTAGGTTAAGGTTATAACGAGTGTCCGTGTGTAAATGGTACAAGTTCTCGGCAAATCCACAACATTTTCTTATGCTACTTTACTGTAATATATAACGTGACATTATTCTTTAACAAGTTTTTCTTTAAACAATGTCATGGACTATTAAAGAGTTTTATAAGGTCATTTCGGTAAAACTCATTAGTTGAATATCAGTGTAAATAAATTGGTATTGCACTCGACGCTTACAAATATCCGATTTAACAAAATATAGTGTTGCAATGCCACTTAATTGAAATGTTTATTCTAAGTGTCTGTTAATTTCACGAGTTCTTTATTTGCTTTAAGAATAGATTTTCGATAGTCATGATCAAGTAGCTGATTTGTTTATCAATGTTTCTTTAAGAATTACGGAAGTACCTTGGCTGTTATCAGAATAGAGGTATGGTTGTGTTGTCGGAGACGGAAGCTATAAATAGTGGCGTAATGTTCTGTGTAGACTACTGTAAGAGCGATAATAAAAGGTTAATTTTAGAGATGCTTTATATAAACTGTTGTTCAAAGTTAAAGTCCGTAGTAAATCAACTTTTCAATAATAATAAACAACTTGTGAAATATATTTCTAATGGCAAAGTGAACAAGATGCTTGAATTAAATACTTAGATAAATTTTGTTGATATTGAACGAGCGACTTTGATCTCGATAAAAAAATAGTTATGTAAAATGCAAAATAGCTATTATTTGTTTTGTGCTTTTAGAAATAATTTATGAAATGAATATAAAATATATTCTTTGTCAAAGATAGTCCTCTATCGTGCATTTGATGTATTTGACTTTAAAAAGAAAACCTAAATTAATCAATAAAATGGTAAGTCGCAGAATATAAGATAGTCAGCCTCTATGTATAAAGTTTGTTGGGGTTTGTATAAAAACGCTATGTTGATAGGTTTGCTGCTGTTTATAACTCGACTTGCTCATGTGGAAACGAGCTTATCGAGAGCAATTCATCACAAACTGTAGAGTGTGATAATATATGTCCCGGATATGACGTCACAGTGCCATCACAAGAGGCTTTCTGTGGAGGTTCTTCTGGGGAGATAGCCGTGTATGCTACACTGGGTAAGAAAGTTTTTTTTTTCATATTGTCAATGACTTATGGAAATCGATTGAGGTAGTACTAAAATAATAGAATATTTACTTCAAGAAGGTAGTATACAAGAAAGTAGCATACAAAAGAAAGTGTCAAAGAAAGATAAAATACAAAATATTTTATAACGTTTTCCAAAACAATATTTATTTATCACAATAATAACATTATAATATATAATATAATAAATAAAACTTCAAAACAAAATAATAACAACAATAATAATGATAAAATTAATAACAAACGGTAAAGGTATATACTAAAGGTAAAGCAAGTAATAATAGTAGTAGAACATCACATTTTATATAATGGACATTTTAATAGATACTCCTATAATAATAGATATATCATGTCACAATAAAGCCGTCTCTGTGCAGACCAAAGCAAAGCAAACCTGCATCAGTACAATATGACATTTTATTGATGGTGTTTTACAAGATATATTCCATTTTCTCTAACAGATGGATGTTACAGTTCAGTAAATCTTGCAAATGGACCAGAAATTGTCACAGAAGACGTAGAGCTGACTTGCAGAGAACGTTGTCGAGGGAAAGGTTTCTCCCATGCTGTAATCCAGGGGGACAGCGAATGTTTCTGCCTTAATACAACAAACATATCAGGTCTTGAAACTGACAACAATAAATGTCTAAATAGAACCTTCTACAGCACTACCCAGATATATGATCTAGGTGAGACGTGATTTCTTGTACTTTGTGTTTTGTATTATGTTTAAAGGCAAGTATACAAGAAAGTGCCCAATTGAGCTCTGTATCTCTACAAAAATAGCATCAATAGAATGAAAAATGGCAATGTTAATGGTATTCATGGTTTATTGTCTTTGCGTTCGTTTCTTGTATTTTAATAAAGGCTTGGAAAGAAAACATGATATTACGGCTCATTGAGTTCTTCTTCTTTAGTGACATTCCTTTCTGTACTAGCTTTATATAAAGAATGAAATGGCACGAACATGTCATATAGAAGGTCCCATGATCACCGCTGTATGAATATACCGGAATCTTCAGATGTTTCTCTATTCCATATTTCAACATTTTCTTGTTTGAATGCTGACTTCTGCTTAAGCAAGTATTAGGGGGCGTGAACGATAGCTTACAATTTGCAGTACCTTCCATGAACAGGCTTAATCAAACCAAGCCTGCAACATATTCAATATTTTGCCGTTTTGGACGTTCTTTAGGGTTTCCGTCTTTACATGAGCCAAGTCAGCAACCATCATAACTTGGACATGCTGACCTCATACTGTAAATTTGTTAAATGATGCTTAGTTCCAGGTATTCATAATAATAAATTTGAAGGGCATACTATGTTCCTTTGTTATAATATTTTGCTCCAATATTCATTTATTCAAGTTTAAATAAAGAGAGAGAGAGGAATGTATCGTGGAAATCTAGTTATCATTTATATCATTAAGTTAGTGGACTGGAGGAAATATGTCTTGTATTTTAAGAAAAGATATATTATTCTTAATGAACATATTCAGCGAGAAAAGCACCATACCTGAAAACGTGTCAAGAAATGTACACTGAAGGAATACGGATGAATGGGCAATACTACCTGGAAGAAACGGACCAAATAGAAACTTGCATATTCAAAGGTAAAAATGATATTTGTTTTCCTTTATATAACAACAATTCTATATAGATTTGAGTGAATGTACAAATGATTAAGGAATAATAGATTAAAAGATATCATATAATTTATAACGTTTGTGTTTTAATAAGATTTATTTTGAGATATATTGTTGGCTTTTCCTATAACATTCATGGGCAACATTTCTATTACTTGCTTAAAAATCTTTCACATAACTGGCCGCAACCTATTTTGTGAAACAGAGGACTTTGAACAAGCCACTTAAAACATATTAAAACAGACAAAATGGAGTGATAACGTTCAAAACAACAAATTGTTATATAACTTGAAGTTCGTGTAGTGTTACGTTAGCGTCAGGGGATAAGATTATCATACAATTTCTGTTTGATGCATTCTCGACTCATATTTACATTTTTTGCAATCTAGATGGAACAGTTTGTGATGATGAATGGATTGGTTTTGATGGTTACTGTTATCATTTTAACAACAATATTAGTATGAATTTTGACGGTGCCCGAGCTTATTGTGTTTCTCTTGACGCTGATTTGGTTTCAATCACATCTTCCGCGGAGTTTGACTTTCTCAAAGAGACAAGAGATAGTAAGTATCTTATTCTTTTCGAATTATAGTAAACAGAATCCTTGAAAGGTGAATCTTTTATTAGCATCATTGTTTTATTTTTAATATGCCGCATTGCATTCTACATTCAATTGCATGCATACTGTTCGTGTTCTACTCGTTATTAGAGCCAGTATTTCAGGTAAATATTGTTGATACATGTATGTGGATTCTGTATAATTATAGAACGACGTTTTTGGTCCAAACATAAATATGTATTAAATAGTGATATAAATAATAATGTAGATCACTGACAAGACGTTCTTGCACACAACAGTAGGAACTAGCGAAATACTAAACTAATGAGAATTGTATTGTATAGCTTTCAGTGATTTGTGGGCAGATGAGTCGGACCCTGCATGGTGGTTAGGATTTGTAGATGTTCATAACACATCACTATATATGTGGGTGGACGGGAGCTTAGGAACGTTCTCTAATTTCAAATATGAACCGAGTGACATAGACAAGTATTTAGCAGGAGATGATAAAGATAAAGGATATCAATGGACGGAGATGGATGACGTCGACCATCATAACGTGATGTGTAAGAAACCAAGTGGTAGGTCTATGAAGCTTCGTCATTATTTGATAACTTCGATGTTTAAGAATTTTATATTTTCTGTCCATTCAGCATTCTTACGTAACTTAGTGTCATATAGACATGGATTTGACAAACTTTGGAATTTGGTGCATAACCTCTTTTAATCATTTATATCATTATTCTTACATTATTATGTTCGATAAATAAATATATAATCATCAGTAAAATCGGTCATATTACATTTTTTGTAGTTTTAATTCAGTTGAACAATACTATGTTTGTGCAGAGACAAAATTGCAATAATTGATAATATTAACATTGTCAATTCAGGAGGACCACATTGCGCCGACATCGCATCTATAACACCAGGTTACAGTCTAGTTGATGACTCAATGTCTTTGACATACTGTATACAACTCTGTAAAGGCCAGCAGTTAGAATTTGCTATTGTACAAAAATTCACTTGCAACTGTGTGGATATATTACCAACATTTAATATCGCTCCGAAGAATGAGTGTTTATCGGAATGTCCCGGTAACAGATTTCAGTACTGTGGTGGAGACGCAAACAAATTCTCTGTATTCAATGGTAATTATCATGCTCTTTTTATATTGCAAGCTCCTTTTTGGAGCGTTGTATCTTTTCATTTTTGTAAATCAAGTTTAGATTTTCGAAATATATGTACTTAAAAGCTAACTTGAGTGAATTTAATTTATCATATAAGGTAAAGTTCCGCCACTTGAATTTACTGGAAATAGATTGTTTCGAAAGTCAATGATAAGGTTATGCTTGAAAATTGAAAATAAATCGTTTGCCTTTTTCATTTTTTTCTAACCTTCTTTCCTTACCTCGCACACATGAATTAATTGTTTACGATGTTGCGTTTTCACATGTGCAAAAGTGTTATTCGAAGACTAAAAGGCTTGCTGTGCACTTAATGCGGGCGTTAAATTTTGTTATTTCTCTATTACAGTCAGCAAAAAACTCGCTTCAATGTCGTGTGAGGAACTTCAACTGTTCGGATTTGATAATAACACCTTTCTCCTCCAGTCAACCAACGAAACACAGATACAACATTGCGGGGCTACAGGTAAAATATCTCTTAAATAGATAAAAGAAATAATAAATTAATGATTTTTTTATGAATACCGTTAATACGGTAGCTTTTTTATGAGTTGTTGAGACATTTTATTAAATACACTTGTATCTAAAAATAATTATAAAAAATTCTGATAAAGTAAGATCATACTAATAAAAAATTAAAATACAATGTATAACGTTTTAAATACATAAAAATAGCACATTCTAGATCACAAATATTAAATGCGTTAATCAAATTTCTTTTAAAGCATGTCCATTCTCTTGGATATTCCTAAATGGTTCATGTTACAAGTACATTTTGTACGAAAAGAATATCAAAGAGGCAATAGAAATGTGTGCAGTAGAAGATGCCTATATGGTTACTATAGAAACGAGTACAGAAATTCAAGAAGTTATAAATGCTGCGAATAATATAGGCAAGTTTCCATAGTTTACTTATAGATTTCTGATTCAATTTTAGGGTTCATGTTTGATTGAGCATGTGTCTTGTAATTTTCGAATCGTTAATACAAATAAAAAAAAAACAGAAATCGTTTTGGGAGAACTTTATTGAAGAAGATATTGTTCCTAGAACGGATTATTTTAAATATTAATAATAATGAGATGATCATGATAAAAATAATAGTATAGTTTCGTACATGTACTAAATCCTGTAAAACTTCATAGCTCGTTTAGTGAAGTCCTGTCTAGAAGATGAAATTCTTCATAAAGCAATTATCTTCTCAAGTTTGCATTGTTTCCACTTTTATCAATTATTCGGCTGTATTTCATGTTTAACTTCCATGCATGTGTTTGTCTCAATCTGATTAAAATCAGCTTAAAATAACGCCCCTCATTCAGCAAGAGATAAGTAGATCTGAAGTTAAGGTGTGATTGATGTTTGTCTATGACAATTCATATATTTATGATTATTAAAGGTTTATATAGCACAGTAAGTTCGTGGCGAGTGGGACTTCTTGCATTGTCTCTTAATGGCGGTGTGTTCAGATGGTCTAATGGAAAAACTTTCAAGTCTGATTACTGGAATGATGAAGCGCTCGGTGTTGAAGGACCTGTTGTGACAGTCTTGTCGTCTAACTTTACACTGTGGTACGCTAAAAGTGCCGTTAATGATAACACACGGTTCATTTGTGAGAAAGGGAATGGTAAGTTATTAAAACAGCAACAACAACAAAAGACATTTAAAAAAAATGTCAGTCAATATTGTTGCTGCCAATGTAAGCGCCATGTCTCATTTGAAAGATAAATTATACAAGTTTGCCTTTCAGATCAAGACACGATTAAAAAATATGGTTTAAGTTCTTACATTTGCCCTTCATCACAATAGAAATATTTAGTATTATTCGAATCCTTATTTTAATTAACATGTTCAAGTCAAAATTATGAAGATATCTGACAGTTCTATTCCAAACGAACATTTATTTTTCAAAAAGAACGCTTGATGATGTATATCATTCAATGTCTGGAACTGTACAAATGTATTACGTTATTTTTGCTAGAATGTGGTATTGTTGTTGGGTTTGAAAAATCTTCACAAATAGGAAGTCAAATGACTGGGAGGATAGACAATTAAGATATAAAAATCTTTTTTATAGGTCAGGCTGGTCATAGAGTAAGGAGACGCAATTGATAATTAATAAGATAATATGGAATGTATGTAAGGAAAACTCATAGCAGGAAATACATATAAAGCTAAGCTGCGAAGTCTTTTTCTGATTACTCCTCCCGGGTGAAGTAAAAATTATTGTGACAACTCAAATTCTTAAACACACGAGAGGCACTTATTAAATCATTCAATATTGCGATTCTCGCGTAAAATGAAATTAAATAAAACCTGACGATTTAATTGTATAACAAATATAAATTATGTTCACATTTATCTTTCTAATATCTTATTTTAATATTTTATAGATTACAAGGGATGTTATGATACAACTGGTATGGCCTGGGATATTATTATTACCGACTATTCTAGTATGACTATACAACAATGTGTAGAGATGTGCAGAGTAAACGCTCGAAAATATGCATTTCTGAATAGCACGAGTTGCTCGTGTGAATCAAGCGTCACCTCTGAAAATAAAGGTCAATGCACAAGCGTGTGCAGCGGCCAAAACAACCAAGTATGTGGTGGGGTGGACGTAATGTCCGTGTATGACGTGGGTGAGTGTTTGATGCCTTTTCAATTTCTAAAATAGACTTGTGTAGTTTCTATTTTGGGAACTTTCCAACTTTTGAGATATCAATTTGAAAATAAAAATGAGTCATCCAACAGGATAGAGATTAGTCAAGACTGCAAGGATACTAGTGGCAAAGGCTGGACAACTTTTGTTTAAAACAGGACAAGGGTTAAATCTTATAAAATGAATTATCATATATGCAAAGGTTTCCTTAATTTCCAGCTAACGATGTCACACGTTGTCAGTAATGGCAGATATTTTCATTTGTTTGTTATGATTTCAACAGGCAAAGAAACGTATAGATAATAAATATTTCTTGTTTGCTTGTTTTTTTCCAGACGAGTTTCCATCGTTTGCTAACAGCTGCATAGACTTGTTTAATGCGGGAATATTCATATCAGGAAGGTATTTAGTATCCGGAACAGAACAATTTTGTAATTTTACAGGTAATCTAATGCCTTCATTTAAATTTTACGGTAATGATACTCTTTTCTTTGGTAACAGCATGAAACTAGATTAGCCTACACTTCCATATAGTCTGACCATACTCTATATTGATGTCTGATTTATTAACATAATCAAAATCCATGAAAATTAACTACACGCACACACGTATATTTACAAGTTCAAGCAGGGGATGTGTGAATACATGATAAAGATTATTTATCAAAAACATATATTAACAAATCATACACACACGCGCGAGCATGCACACACACATACACACACGCACGCACACACACACACGTGCGCGCGCGCATAGCAAACACTATTTGGAAACATTTTTCAACTTGTCCAAAAGTTCATACAAGTTTTATAACATATTCTTTTTTTTAATCATTTAAAAGTTTCTGTCTAAGTGTTGCAAGCTATGTTAACAAAACATGCATTTCTTGTAGATGGAACTATCTGCAGTGGTGATGGATGGATTGGTTTTAATGGGAACTGTTATAAATTCTTCCTGAAAAGACAGACGTCGCATCACGAAACATGCCGGGATAATGATGCTGTGCAGACGTCACTGACAACTGTAGATGAATACAATACAATTGTGGAGTATATCAGAAGTATGCCATTCTTGTCTCTAACGAATTCTTCCATCTCTTGTTCTTTGCTCTTAAACATTTAGATCTATGACTTATTGTATATAATGAAGCTATCTTGGTTGCTTATATCGAGGTAACGTTAGTTTAGATGAGTGTCTGGTATATTCCTTCATTATTCAATGTTTAATTCTTTACTTAACAAGTGACCTTGTGATCAGAAATAATAATTCAACCGTGTTTATCTTGTTATGAAGCCGTTAAATGGTCATGTTGTTCACCTCTTTACAAGAAAACACAATTATAACACTGTTGGCAGTTATCATAGTGTTATGCAGAAAGAGAATTTAGAAATTAATAAAATCCATCAATGACAATATACTTGTAAATAATTACATTTTGTACTTGTCTTTGTTGTACATGTATTGTCTTATTTGTAGCTCATAATCTGTTCCATAACGCAGAATGATTCGTGACAACTTATTTTTCTATCCTTTTCTATTTAGTTCTATTTAGTTTACTGGATATCTACTTATTTTTGTCATATAAACTTATTTCAGGACTCAATTTTGAAGGCGGCAATGTGCGTGTTTTCACAGGAATAACTCACGGAGGTTATAGTTTGGATGTGTACATGAGTGACGATGGTTTTCTCACTGACTACAGTCTTATTGTTAATAACCATTTAGTTAACACGGACCTTTACGATGCTAATGGTCACGTCTCGTTTTACATTGACCACTCTCACAAGCATACAACTGACTGGGGCGTCCTTTGTAAAGAAAACAAGTGTATGTTAATTTTTTAAATTTACAGAACAATGTAACGTTAAGAGTCTTTTGATGATACTTGGCAAAGATCATGCTTAATTTGTATTTATATTTTAATCGTGTATTGTTTTAATTGTTTTTGAACGGTTTTAAGAAAATGATATTTTAAAGAACAAACTATATCCATTAAATCATCATCACCGTCATAATCATTCCTGTATTATCATTGTTATTATGAATCTGATTTTAGATATGATTGGCTGTTATATAAAGCCATCAAATCTGGTGCCGATTCTTGAAAACTATGATTCCGTAGAGTTGTCATTATGTCGTCAGTTGTGTATTGCAATTGGGAAGAACATAACCCTGATTGGGTTAGATTTTTGCGCATGCGCAACAGAGGCAGAGTTAACTACCTTGACGTCAACATCTGGAGCAGGGTGTAACTTTCACTGTTCGATTCCTAAAAATCAGTTATGTGGAAACGGATCAACGATGTGGGCTTACCATTCTGGTATGATGAAAACTAACATTTTACCATCTCTGTTAAGATTTGGACAATCAAGATAAAAAATAATTAAAAAGTCTGCTACGAATTATCACTTTAGTGCAATTTTTATGAAAATGGTATATGATATTATGGTAAATTAGTCCCAGTAAATTTTACCGATCAAAGAAAAGAAGCTGTGATTTAACATTTCTTTTATATTATTATTATTATTAATGGTTTTTTAAAGGTAACATTTCTAAAAAGTGTTGTTTACTTGTTTTAGGAATTGGAGATTTACCATATGGTGAAAGTTGCCATCATCTGTACAAGAGTGGTATTTTCTATAATAGCACTTACAGAATACAATCTAACGAGTCGTCAGTTTCATTTACAGAAGCACGTTGTGGTTTTACCGGTAAGTCATTAGAGTAATATAAATGTATAATGTTTTTCAAAAACTTTTCTTTTCATGTGTAAATAAAATATATATTAAAATGAAAAAAAAAATCACCAATACTTGAATTAGAACGACTGATAATAGTACAATTATGGCAATATTATTGACGATTTATATATTGCATCTGTGCTTTGCTCTGTCATCAACATATACACTTACGAACAATAATTGTCATTTAAAATGATACTGATATTTTTTACAGATAACACTGAATGTCCAGCAAATTGGTTAGGACACAACAATATGTGTTACATGTTCATCAAAACCAAAACAACTTTTGAAAATGCTGTAAAACATTGCGCAGATATAAATGCGTACGTGTTGATTCCGTCCAGCAGCAGTTCAGTGGAATTTGTGAGGTCGTTTACCAACATGTCCGGATTATTTGTGGACAATATCTGGTGGAGTGGCATCATGCCCATTCTCTATAATATTTCTTATATATCATCAAATGGAAGACTTGTCGACGTTGATCATTTGATCAGCAGCAACAATCTCCCGCAGACGCATTCTGTACTGAATACTGACACATTGACACTGAGAGCAAATGTTCACAATAAACAACAATTCATATGTCAAAAGGACAAAGGTACATTGCCAATAACCTTGCTAGATAAACATTTATTTGTATAATTTGTATACAACTACACATGTATCAAATTGTGTATTTAAAAACTATTTATGTTTAACATCAATCAATTATCTATCCGGTAAAAGAATAAAGACATTTTATATTTCTTGTACTGAAGGAAATTAGTCTGTTCATTAAAGCAAGAGGGACTTATAGAATATATCTGAATGTTTTACATTATTTAGATTTTCTTGGCTGCTACCGGACCAGTGACGTCCCAGATGCGCAATATAAAAATCTGTCAGGAAATTCTCTTACACAGTGCATATATTGGTGCAGTGGTCAACATTTCAACTATGCGGCAGTATTTTCACATGACTGTATGTGTTTTCATAACGAACCGGCTTTAACAACTGCACCTGGTATGTGTAACATAATTTGTGAAGGTGGTACATCACAGATGTGTGGCGGAGTGAAATCGGATAATACTGTGTACTATTCCGTCTTGAATATCAGTAAGTGATTATTTACCTTCCTTATGTCATATTACTAGAGTAATTAGTTTCACAAAACGAAATGCATAGTAAATTAGATAACTCTGTCAAAACTAAATTAACGTATTGTAAAGTATATTCAAGAATTTTATTTTGCATGATGAACCATAGTTACTTTCAAAGCAAACAAGCGAAGGCAAAAAAATTATATCATTTATGTACATTTTGATAGGTTACATGGCCCTGTATCCATTTCTTTTTGTCAAATTAAAATCCTTTATGAGTATTGTAAAGAAAGAAAGATATATGTAATATTAATAATGTCTCTTATGAAATATTTTTATAAATTCTATGAACAGCAAAATTATATTGTTTCAAAATTTTATCGTCGATTCTCGAAATAGTTGTAACAAAATGACAAAATGTTATTTAACACGCATTAATTTGATTCAAATGTTTCGGAACGGAATATTATTCTGCTATTTTAGGTAGAGTTTTATCAGTTTTGCTATGATTTCGCGCATGCGCCATTGTCTTTAAAGGCAATATACTACCATATGTTTTCATAAAAGCATTTAGAAAATTCATACAATATCTTTTAAAGCATTTTTATTCTTATACACATTAAAGTTATAATATGGAAGTAAGAAATAATATAAGAAATACTGTATTCCTTTAGCAAACATTTCTGGCATCACTGGTTCCTGTCTGGATTTGTTTAAACTTGGAATATGGAAACATGGGCAGTATACGAAGAGAATTGATGAGGTGGAGCCATTTTTTGATAGTTATTGTTACCTTAACCGTAAGTGTTTCCATGCTTGTAATAGATATACATTGTTGAAATATTACATAAGGCAATGTAAACTCTTTATGAAAGGATAATAGTCAATATCAACATCTGATAGAACAGCTTATTTTATAAGACTGATTTTGGTTCATTTTTCAAACCATCCAAATTTAATTCTCGAGAAACCAACATGTATACGTAGAGTGCCAAGCTTAGTCAAGATTATTAGTATCTTAAAGTTCGCTGTCATTTTGGCTTTCCGGCCCTTGTGGCGGTTGGACCTAAAGTGATGACTTTATTTGGGTTTTTTTTGTTTGTTTTTGTTTTGCTGTCATGCTGACACTTTTTTGCTGTCATGCTGACACAGCCACTTCACCATTGACAAAATTAGCTACTTTTTCTACTTTTTAAACAGTAAATTGTTTGATTTAAAACTCTTGTTTTTCCAGCTGCACCATTAGGCAATATTTTGAACAACTTGAAATCATTGTCGGCATCTTCAACACTAGACGGCCACGATGTTAAAGATATCAAGTATGTCATTTGTTGTGCTTCCATATAAATTGAATGGTCTGATGCTAAGTTGGACGAGTTATGCTTTTGAATTATCTACTTAAGTAACATATGCATATTTGGCTATCTAGATGATTTTTGTCTGTTAATAGATATTTCACCGTAAAAATGTACCACAAACGCGCTTAAATAGCTTAAAAATATAATAAAAGCTTTGGAATAGAGAATAGGAAAATGGACAATTTGCAAATGAAATCAGCATATTAATTTCTGGCACTTCTCTATAAATATGAGCATTGTGTTCGGTCGGCTGCCTGACTCATTTTCAGGTGTATGTTATGTACATGTATATTTCTTTTCTAGTTTGACATTCCCCTTTACGAAAGCATGGAAACCAAGTAAAGACGAAAATACCGAGTACATCAAAATAATCTTAGCAGACGAACATCTCATAACTGGAATTGAAATATCAGGTAGGGAAACATTTGGACGAAACAAAGATTACAATAAAAGACCATGAATTATATAACTAACTAACCAAACCCTTTAAAAAAGCTCAGTCTACTGATCTTAAAAATATATATAACTGATTATCACGTAAAGATCACCTTGACACGGCTTTATCTGAAAAGACTGCCTTTGCCGTCAAAAGTGTGCACATGCGCAAAGTATCATTTTCCTAACTGGTCTGACAAAATTAACGCCACATGGGGATTAAAGATGTAGCCGACCAACATTTTAAATTCTTAACAAATACTATTAGTTCAATTGGTAATACTCTTCAAAATTGTGTTGTTGCTGATGTTGTTAATGCTAGCTATAACTTTTTACGTTTATAGGTCTTCACACACATGCTGAGCAGTCATATGTAAAGTCTTACACAATTTATTATCGTGATTTACTGACCGGAGTCCTTGAAAAATATTTGTATAATGGCAGTGCTGAGGTGAGTTTTAACATAAGACAAAAAAAAGATAAAACTTTAGGTGACAAACTTTAACATCTGTCACACCAGTTATAATGCAGAATTATAGATGACGATAAACCACCGCATCGATGTGCAAATGTATTAAATAATTATACGGCAGTGTATAATGTAAATGTATTGTAGTGAGTGTGTAGATGTATTTAAGAAATGCACGGCACTCAGTGTTTATTGTGTTGACAAAGATAAATTTTTTCACGTTTGTATTTTTTTAGATTACATGTATTATTAACATGGTAATGTCTTACAACTAAATCATATACGTTCTACGAAAGCAATGGGGAGAAAAAAAAGTTATGTGAAAGACATCATTGACATTGACCTCCTTCGAAGTATGAGAAAATGATTTCCTTTACAGATACTATTGTCCTTTAGGTATGACCCTGACCTTCATAGGGGCTAGTTTTGCGCGCGAGAAATCATTTTTAGGTTGCTTGCGAACAACTATTTCTGCCGAGTACACCCGTTTGTGACTTGACAAAGCAGTACAGAATGTTGCTATGCACGCGACACGTCTCATTACTTGCCTTTTTCAAAGTAAAGGAAGACCGAGCTCGATTTTAGTAACACGCACACAAATATGGTAAACCGTCATTTGTGGGGAAAATCTTAGAGTAAGAGATCAAACGTAAAGTTTTTACTTGTTTAATCCATTATAAAGTATGTTTTATCAATCCGAATTTGTGTTATCAGATACCAAGTGGTTGTAGCGAGAGGAACGTGCTATGTTTCCACTATTTCTTATCGCCAATGGTAACCAATGAGATACGATTGTTTCCAGAGAGTTGGCACAACTCCATATCTCTACAAATATCTCTTCTTGGACAACTGTACTCGGACTTTAATCGTAAATATTGTTCTTTGGTTTTTGTCCTTTTAGCAATACAAATATGTTATTGTGAATTCAATATTTGATATATTAGAACCTAACATGTATTATATAGGCATGCTACTAGAAGTTTTTTCTCTAGATTGTTTAAATTTTGTAATATAATAGATAAGAAAGCTGGTCTTCGAACCGACAGTAAGGAAATGGAAATACAGTTCGTATATTCAAAATTAAGCTAAGAACAAATTGTTTGGGTTTTTTTTGTTTAGTTTTAGCGTCGATTTTAACACATGTTCGTCATATTTCGGCGGTGGGTCTACCTAACCAGCTTTCCTGGATAACTAACCAGTAATTACAAATAACTCCGACAGTGACGGTTAGACGGAGGCACCTTCATTTTAGATATGAAAATCACAGTATATATTTGCTAAGAGGAGAAACGATCGGCAAAAAGATGTGCCATTGCGCACGTGTTTCAAAAAATGTATAATTGTGACCACTAAAAGACAATTGAACAAAATAAGTAACTAACACAACTAATATACATTTAGATACAGCGACGTTTATAGGGTGTGCGGCAGATCCTGTCTCTACTTTTTCTGATTACGGCTATGATATGGACATTGGGGCGTGTAAAAAATTGTGCCGTGACAATCTCTTCCCATTTGCTAGTGCTAGTAAGTCTTTATGCTTTCAATTTAACTCTACAAGTTTAACTGCAAAACCTGATGCCTTGTTACATAAACACTTTCAAAGTTTTACCTTTATCTAATAAAATATAACAGAGTATGACAAAACAGAGAATATAGAAATTAAAAAGCGATTACATATCGACCGGAAGTACAATTATATATCTTTATTATACCTTATACTACATAATACTTTTACATACTAACTGTGGGTCATGTTCCAAAAGAAAAATAGGTAGCGAGTTCACAGTGGTTATATTGCCTATTTTTGTTGTGAACGGTGATTTTATATCGCAGTTGATGTCTAAATTTTCAGACAGTAATGGGACATGTTCTTGTGGACATGGGAACTTTGATAACGGTTTTGTTGAAGAATCATCTTGCCCCTTGAATACAAGTGGTCTTTTACGGACAAGCAACGGTATAAACAGGGCCGTGTATAGAACATTCTGTAAGTACAACCTTTACCAAATAAGACCACATGACTTAGATTTGTCAGTAAAGAACACCATTTAAGTGAGTTTCCCTTTTCGTTAATAAAGTGAGTTTTCCTTTTCGTTAATGAAGTGAGTTTCCTTTTTCGTAAATGAAGTGAGTTTCCCTTTTCGTTAATGAAGTGAGTTTCCCTTATCGTTAATGTAGTGAATTTCCCTTTTCATTAATGAAGTGAGTTTCCCTTATCGTTAATAAAGTGAGTTTCCCTTTTCATTAATTTTATCGTTAATAAAGTGAGTTTCCCTTATCTTTAATGAAGTGAGTTTCCCTTATCGTTGATGAAGTGAGTTTCCCTTATCGTTAATGAAGTGAGTTTCCCTTATCGTTAATGAAGTGAGTTTCCCTTTTCATTAATGAAGTGAGTTTCCCTTATCGTTAATGAAGTGAGTTTCCCTTTTCATTAATGAAGTGAGTTTCCCTTATCGTAAATAAAGTGAGTTTCCCTTATCGTTGATGAAGTGAGTGTTCCTCTTCATTAATTAATGGTTTCTTTTCATATACTGGTTTGATTGCTAGTGTTTGTTTAGATTATATGATATGAATTAATATAATATAATATGCGATATTTGTTTTAATTATAAAATATGCAATATTTGTTTTAATTATAAAATAAGCAATATTTGTTAGTATACCTTTGTTTAGATAAGAAATATATGTTCAGATTATATTAAATCTGTACAGATTACTATTAATATTTCACTAGATACAGCTTTTTATGATATTATGATATTGACAATTTATGTTTTGAAAAATTTATTCTAAACATTTGACTAACACTTAAAAATTATAGTTTAAACATAGAAAGATTTATGATCATTATGGCTATTAACCATGAATGATTAAATCAATATTAAGGTAGGTAATTTTGTGTAAACAAACATGATAAGATAGTGGAAATAAAAATAAAGTACACTTGTAAGAGAAGAAGATAACTCATCATCTAAACATCTAAATCTTTGACTAATTAAGATAATTATAAATATCTAAGATATTTGTGAAAGATTTGATATTTCGCCAATATAAAAGGGCTAATAACCGAATTCGTTATTTTAATTACCCCAATTTATATATTATAAAGTTGAGTTCAAGTTCTTGAGTACATATTTACATGTACAACTTTTCGTCGTAGTACAATGGAGCTCTGTCAATAAAAGTGTGGGTGTAATACAAAAATCAGTGTAAAAACGATGCCATTATGTTAACAAATTTAAATGGAACAAATTATTGTTGATTGCAGACTTTGTATCAGGTAAGAAAATCAAATCAAATAATGGTAGAAAAGATGTCTGCCTGTCGACGTAGGGATACCGACCATGTTTCAAATTTTTAAATAGCACATCTACTGGTTCCAGAAGTGGACTTGAAAGTGGTTTGAATATGCCTCAAGCTTTCTTTACGAAATAGATGTATTTAAACTATACTAAACTCAAACTAAACTAATCTAAACTAGACTGACAAGCATGTGTAAGTTATCATATAGTAAATTTGTAAAACAAACATAAAATCGGGTATACCATGGTGCTGGTTGTTGTTAGTTCTTATAGTAAAACTTGTTATATGTCTTAAATTTTAGCTTCGAATATTTCCCATAGACTGTTTAAAATATACCTGTATGTAATGGTTCACTTTAGGTTATAATTATTAACAAAAAGTAAGACATTGACACACCCGTATTGTAAACACATGTACAATATAATTATACATGAACATAAACATGTATATTTACTTTACTATCATTCAATTTTCGTGTCGAAATTTTACAATGATTGACACTTTATCTTGTTTAAAGTGATTATGTTTCTTGACTTCACTTAAAACAAGAAAAGCAAACAAGGTCAGGTTAAATAAACAATGGTATCCATTACAGTATTTGGGTGGTATAGTGTAGTGTAATAATGATGTGGGGTTTCATGACATAAAGTCAAGAGTAAGGGTTACAATACACTCGGAAGTATTTGAAATATTTGAGTCAGTTTGATAATTTCCTATTTCGTGATAAACATCTTAAGAATGTGTCCGGAAGTAAATTGTTTACAATAAACGGTCAAACGTTCAGATTTTAGTTATAATGATATAATTAGAAACTTTATTGAATATGGTATAACAAAAATACAATAGATTCATGGTTTCAGTTATTAAGCTAAAACAGAGTAGAGAAAAGTTCGTGTATTTAGTTTTATGGATTTGAATGGAAGCAGTAACACTTGCGGTGGTTGGCGATCCATTTGTCGGCAAGACGTTACTGTGTGTCTCCTATACAGCTAATTATGTTTACAAAGATTATAGACCGACAGTTTTGAATCAACACTGGACAAACGTTATTGTTGATAATCACGTGATCGACCTTACGCTCTGGGACACACCCGGATCGGTATGTACATCAAATTATTATTGTTATTATTTATCATTATTATTATTATTATTATTATTATTATTATTATTATTATACCCCAACAAACGCAGTTTAGAGTCAGCTTGTCTGGTTAGCTCTGAATTCCCATGTTGATCTGGTTAACTCTTAATTCCTATGTGGATCTGGTAAACTCTGAATTCCTATGTGGATCTGGTTAACTCTGAATTCCTATGTGGATCTGGTTAATTCTGATTCCTATGTGGATCTGGCTATTTAAAGGAAGAACCAAGACCTTTTGATAGACCTTTTTTCATAACTATAATAAAATCACTACCATCAGGGCAAAGAACACAAGTTACATGTATGTGCAAGTTTGGTCAAAATTAAAATGTTTTCGTTTAGGCAAACATAATTGGACTTAGTACGAACGGAAAATTGACAGCTGTTGATCCTAAAAAGAAAACAAATCATAAAGATAAATACAAATCTTGTGAGTAAAAGAAGTATAAATAACATTGATTTGTAGAAGATTCGATAAGTATGTGAAAATCCGTGAGCAAAGTATGTCACCTACCGTACAACTTTATGTTCGTACATATTCGCTGTATTCTGTCATTTATCACCATTCAGTATATCCCGTCACTTACCATTTACACTTTAAATGTACTAGATAAATACTCTTATCAACTTACAAACTAATTGAGAGGTTTTGTTTCAGGAAGAATATGATGACTTGCGTCCACTCTGTTATCCAAAGGTCGATGCCTTTCTTGTATGTTTCTCGTTGAAGTGCCCTGAATCGTTTCAGAATGTACAAACGAAATGGATACCGGAAATTGAAGAGTACTGCGATAATGTACCAGTGATTCTTGTTGGATGCAAAAGAGGTATTTAAAACGAACATTCCTCAATGAAAAATATTTGATTGTGAAGCCTTGATGTTAAGTATTTAAGCGCCAGTGCTGGCAGCAAATAACGTAAATAGCAAAAAGTCTATTATTATTTCTGCTGTTACTTTACACAATTAAGACATGTTGCGTTTCAAATTTGAAATCTATTCGATAGATAGAATAAATGTCAGGATAAACGAAGAGACGGTATTTTGTAATTATGTGTTACTAGTATATTGTTAGGCGGACGGACTATCGAACATGGTGACTGGTATAAATGGGATTATATAAACTATAGCATGATGTGTATGTTTCAGATGATTGTTTAAAGTCTAGTCAAGACAGTATAGATACTATAGATACAGAAGAGGGCGAGGAGATGGCACGTGCAATTGGAGCGAGGCAATATGTAGAGACAAGTGCAGTGGAGCAGTCAGGATTTACCTCTGTATTTCATACAGCTGTATGTACTTTAATAAAACATTCATGTCACCGTTGCCCAATTCATAAGGTTATTTTACAGTTTTACAAAATTTTCCGGCCCTGTTGAGACTCTTTTAAAAGCTTCATTGATAAAGGAAGACCACACGTACAGCCCCTTCATATAATTTCATATGCAGCGGGCACCTTGTAGGAAACCATTTACCTTCCGTAAGCTACCTAAGATAATTGTCCCACGCAAAATAAACCAATAACTTAGCTTTTAGCAATAAATTACGACTTTATAATATGTTAAAATATTTTTTGCCAATTTCTTAATCTTATTTTTACGTTAATCTTTTATATAATCATAAAAAGTACTTCCTTACCTTTATAAACTTAAAATGGTTTTCATGATTTACATCTTAGTGTATCTAATGACCCATTGATTATTATACTTTAATTTCAGATCATTGCCGCCTTAGAACGGAAGAAAATTTTACCGATTGAAAGAGAAATCCATCGTTGACAAATTGTTAAATTTGAAATAAAAACCTTTTAGTGTCAAATATGTCTGTGTTGATTTCATAGTAGTACTTGTTGTTTTATTTCTGTTTTGTTTTATATTATTAAATAATCCTGAAATGCAAATATAAACTTTTATTTCTTTTTACATTAATGGCGCATTAAAATAATGAATATAACATCAATAGTTGTTTCATTAAAACATTGTCTGTGTGTGTGTGCGTGTGTGTGCGTGCGTGCACGCGCTCTTTCACATACTGTTACAGATAAATTGTAAAACTACCAAAAAGTAAAACATATGTTAAGTGTTCGTAAATTAGCATTTACAAAATTAGCAAAGACTAATCACTCCTGGCACAATTAGGGTAATGATGAAGCTGTATAAAATGTTGCAATAGTATAAAATGTTTCAATATACATCGGGATAACATGGCACACCATATAAAATAAAATATAATATATGTACTTACAATTAAGGATTGCACAAAAAGTTTTAAAACAAATTCATATTTCCATTGTGGTCCTTAAGATACATGTATACTATTGTGTGACATCAAGATACCAATTATCACAAATTTTAATAAAGATAGACTATATTTATAGAAAGCCAGATATTGTATATTAATAATATAACCGTTTTTTAATAAACACATCAATGACGTTGTATAAACATGATATAATAGATCTATTAAAAAGAATGTTTTAACTCATAATAACCGATTTACATGATACAGTGAGAGGACATGGTTACAGTTGGTGCAAAAAAAAAAAAAAAATAAAACATCGCTAGATTTTAAAGTGTCCACACATTTTCAGACATAAGGTCTCCTTCAAAAATATTTCTCATATGCAATAGTATAATATCTCATTAGAATGAGAAATTTAATTCATCATCCAGGGTTTTACATAGTCTACATTTTCTTTGAACAAATGATATTCCTAGAGGCTTAAGGCTTATTCCATCTACCGGCTTGTAAAAATTGTTATTGAATTAAGCAAAATAATACTTTAGTTTTATATTGTTTTCAACGCCTGGTCCGCCAATGCCGCGTTTGTTACACTAAAAAACCATCATCGGTGGTAAACGTAATATCTGAATACAAGTCTACACTCACTTATTTCGAGATAAAGACAATTTATTTGCTGCTCTTCGTTCACTACAAATGAAACTGAAAAACAAAATGATGATCTATGTATTTTTTTCAATGTTCTTACTTAATATCATTATTTTTTGTCTCTTTTACCATATAAAGCGGGGTGGATAATTCTCCTTATAAAAACAAGGATCGTATTGTCGTATTTCGGCCCTAGCTTTATAGAAATACCCGAATGAAAAAAATAGATACAACAAATTATTGGTTGGCCGATTGTTGTTTTTTTCTCTCCACCTTATATAAGAGCCGTAAACATGCAAAACGATCGAAACTGTATATTATGCATATTTTAACATACATTTTTTTTCTTCACAATTCACATTTCATTGCTTTATCAAACCGAGTCAGTAATGAGTGGAAGACAATGGGTAATTCTGTAATAAATATTTGCTAATTTACCAAGAATCATGCTTGTATAATTTTTTGTCCATTCCCATAAAATGCTTTCACATTCCCATACCTACAAAATAATGTTTTTTTTGCAAATACTAATATCTTTTACTTATTTATTTCTTATTATTTGTAATAAATTACATTGAATAAGTTCTGAATTATAGAACGGTAAATGTTACGTTTTTAACACCATCATTTTGTTACTCTTCTACTATTTTATACATTTATAGCGTAATCAAGTTGGTCAGAATTTGTTTAAACATTTATAGTACCGTCATTAACTGGGCAGAGTTTGTAGTATTCATTTGAGCTTCTCGAATTCTTACTTACAATCGCATTTATTCAGGATTTTATGTGTGTATTTTAACAATTACAGACAAGCATTGTGACGCTCCAGATTTTGATGCTGTTCTTCATGGTAACATCTCCTCTATAAGTCCAATACCTGACCAGCCAAACATATATGGCTACAAGACAAAATTGGTGTATAGTTGTCAGGTGGGGTACGAGTTTCCTGGTGGAGAAACAGACATAGAGTCGTATTGTTTACAGTCAAACACATGGAGCAAAATAGATAAGAACTGTTCAAGTAAGAACAAAACACCATTGTTGCTTATTCTAGGAAAACATCTATCAAAAGGCCAAACAATTTTTAACATTGTTCAAAAATTTCAGTTTCTATAAAATGACTGGTTACTTGGACCTACTGGTCTTAACTGGTGTCTTTGACCTACTGGTCTTAACTGGTGACTTTGACCTATTTGTCTTAACTGGTGACTTTGGCCTTTTGGTTTTAACTGGTGACTTTGACCTACTGGTCTTAACTGGTGACATTAACCTCTTGGTCTTAACTGGTGACTTTGACCTGGTGGTCTTAACTGGTGACTTTGACCTACTGGTCTTAAAACCAAAAGGACTGGTCTTAACTGGTGACTTTGACCTACTGGTCTTAAAACCAATAGGGATCGTATACTAGTCATGATTGGCATCAACATAAAATTTTAGGATTGCCAAAAAGGACTCAAGTTATTGATTGCATAATGCGTTTGTGCCTCACGGTCACGGTGACCTTCTTACCAAAAAAGCAAAAGGGGTCATTTACTAGTCATGACCGACCTCCACACTAAAGGGCAAAACATTATGCCATAATAATGCCATACCCAGTTTAACAAACTTTAAATAGCGCATTTATACTCAAGTACTAGTAATCGATCGGACAATAACAACAGGGCGCACACAATATATTTGTGTTGACACCTTTGGGTCAATCTCAAGTACCAGATAAAGATATACGGCAATCCTTCAAGCAATAAATGAAATAATATGATATCTTTAAAGCACAATATATATTTATGTTAAGTGACAATGTTTTATGTTAATTTTGTTTCAGTTGTATCTTGTCCGTCGTTTAATGTGGCAAACGGTGTCGTCAATTTTACATCATTAGAGTATGGCGGTTCAGCAACAGTCATATGTAATGCTAGTTACTATGCACCTAATGGTATGCCACAGATGACGGTGTTTTGTGGACATAATAAAAAGTGGTCTACCGTCCCAAACTGTGCAGGTACCTTTTTTAATAAGAAAAAAAACTTCTTATAATTATATTGTGTGTTAATTTGTTCTTCCAAAACAGTGTTCTGTATTCAAAAATTAGGAAATAGATTTCAAGACTATACAGTTGTAATTTAAAGAAAGCAAGTATTTCTTTCTACTGTGCTAGTTTTCAACCTTATGATTTTTACTGTCTAATAACTTGGGTCAATGTTCCCTTAAATGTATCAATGAAAGGGTTGTTCAGATATCTAAAATACATAATCTTGTAAATCATAACGAAAAACTATGACATCTTTTGATAGGGAAGATATAGTAAAAAATAAAATCAATAAAATGTGTGTGGTAATTTTGATTTTGAAGGGCAATGACTTTTGATTGAAGAGTTTATTGACATATGTATATGTAAATATAGATGACTAAAACCTTTAGGTAGTACAAGGAATAATTAGCTGATATATCTACAAACTATAACCCTCATTATATATATTAAATTAGATTATATCATCATACTGTACAGGATGTCATCACATAACATCCTGGCTTTTTATGACTTCGTAAAACTGATCTATACTAGATATGATTATCCGGTATTTTCATATTTTTACAAATAAGTAGTTTAAATTGTTTCCGTTTTTTGAGTGTCCTAAACTTTCAAGCGTTATTCAAAATATCATACAATAGAATATGTAGGGGTTGTATAAGTTTGTGGAACAAGCAGTAACTTTACAGTTTTTATTAAATAGAGGATATTGAATGAGTGTAAGTTTAATACTGAATTTATTGAACGAGATGGATAAATTTATATTATGCGAGCCTCTGGCGAGCAACGAGTTTAATAAATTCTGTAATGAACTTTCATGAATTTAATATTCTTTTTATCACATACCAAAATAAGACCGTTTGAAGTGAAAAAAAACCCTTTTTCATTTTGGCGCGTTTTAAATTACAAAATTTTGTGCCGTCTTTTAAAGCTAATGTTTTGTATAAACCCAAAAGACATCACATCAAAAAAATATGGGCCCGGGCCCCTGCAAAAAACGGCATTTGGGATGTGGATTAACATAAAAAAACAAACAAAAAAGGAATTTTTTTTCAAAAGTGGAAAACAAACATTCTTTAAAAATTATTGACAATGTTTTTTTCTCAAACCCATAAAAACGGAAGTTTCCCAGTAAACGGGCGATCCACAGGCCCCACCCCATTTCACTTCAAATTCAAAAAAGTTCGCTCCCATGATGTTAATGAAAGATTTTTAGGTACCTTTAACATCATCCGCAATAGCCGGTTTGGTAACGTTGAGATCGATGTCCTCGATGAAAGGTTTCGGTGTCTTCCGCATCCATGCTGCCTCGTCAATAATCTCTTAAATACTAGCGGTCTGATTTTCTATTGATTTACAATGCACTTTTTATTAAGCAAAATAATGCAATTTTATGGACTGCACCGTGCTCCGTACCCATGGTGTCAATTTTGTTTGAAGAAATATTGTTCTGAAATAATTTCGGCAACTATCTTCATAATATTTTGCAAACATTGAAGGGGTGACATTCTGACAATTTTATGAAATCTTCATGAATAAATTGGCAATTTTATAGAAAACAGTTCACAAATTTAACATACAACCCGCGTACATTTATTATTTCAGACTTTAACAAAACTTTATCGTATTCATAACGCATTTTTATAAAATAATTTGATATCCGTTAATGTAAACTGCTTATAAATAAAATAATTGTTTAGTTCTGTTCAGATATATGATATCTATTTCCATTCTGTCATTTTATTTATAACAACACAAGATAAATGATATTTATTTCCATTTTGTCATATTACCCTAAATAAAAGCGAGTTCAAATGTTCATCAGTAAAATAGTTTTAATACTTTAGTAATATGACTAGCTAGCTGATTCACCTCCCCTGCAAGTAGTGCTATTTCTTCAACGTATATGACAGTGTCAAGGTGATCTAAGTTGTATCAATATGGAAAGAAAAGTTTATCCTCTAAGAACTTTTCTAATTATCATATTTTCAGTCGACAACTTGAGCTTCAAACAGCAGCAGTTTACCGTTACACATGGCACTATTCGAGACACCTCTGTTACTATGCAAGAGCTACGAGTACGCAGCAAGATGGACTGTTTAGTGCGGTGTACAGAATTGTATTACTGTAAAGCGACGAATTTCAAGAGTGATGGCGTGGGTAACGCTGGTGGAACATGTAGACTATTTTTTGACAATCCTATAAGCGGCGATCTTTCTGCTGACCCAGACTGGAACTATATGGTAGTCATACCATGAGTGTTGTCAAACATAAAACATGGCTGTCTATACTGGCTAGCGATGTGTTCCAATTAGAGGAATCATTCAACATTGTTCAGTATATAATAAACTGTGTTTAGTTATGATTACCCTACTTTGTGCGAGAAAAAAAAATGATGTATAACAACAAAACAGCATCCAGAAATGAAAATAAGCGCGAAAAAAAAAACAACAACAAAAAATAAAAATTCCCTTCAAATCCCATTTTTTCTATAAAATATGACTTTCCCGTATTTTGATGAAACAAAAACTGCTTGTTGAATATGTTTTTAACATTCTTTAAGATATAATTCAGGGTAATTGGGTTTAATTTATCAATGGTGAAATTTTGTAAACATTTATAACACTTAAGAACATCTGTATACATAGACTGTGGGTTATCTTCTCCTGCCCAGGAAGAGAAAGAATTACAATGCTTATTATTGTCCTAAAGAGTGTTTGTTTGCTTGTTTTTATGTCGAATTTAATACAATTTTGGTCATATCTCATCTGTCGGTAAACCTAGCCGGCTTTCCTGGATAACTTATCAGTAATAATTACTAATTTCTCTGAAATGGACCATTTACTAGTCCAACGTGATTTTTGAATCAACGATGAGAAACAAATATAACCATTGTACTCAGAGATCTATTTAACTCATGATAGTTACTATAAATGAAATAATAATATCACAGAATGTCTAGTATCATACTTTGCATTATTCTTCATCTGTCTGTATGTTTATATACATTGTAATAAATCTGCCGCATCATAAATTTGTTCCTTATCATTTGAGAAAGGTATAAACATGACAACTAGCTCAATAGGTAGAGCATTGGACTGTGAATCGGGCGACCGGGGTTCGATTCCCGGACAGCGCAGGTCACTATCGTTGCGATTGATCATGAAATCTTTTCTACGGTCATTCGCACTGTACTTCTGCTCTGGTATGTACAGAAGTTTCTGTTTCTTGCGGAAGTGAATGGTAAAACTGCTGAGCGATGCGGTGGTTGAACTGTGCTCTGGCGTATTCAGTGCTTACTGCCGTGATCCGGAGTGAAAACTGCCAACACCACCACCAAGTTTTTGTACCTGCTATCTTTAAGTTATTGTGCTCGTTAGATATTTTACTCGATGCTTATTTCAAGTTTAATAGGTTTTCTCCTCTCCAGTATGAATTGACCAAAAAACGAAATCGTGTTTTTCCTTAGTTAAAATTATAAGCAATTTAAAAAAAAATTTATGTGGTATGTAAATATAGAATAAGAATAAATATATGTTATCATCAAAAACTATGCTGTCGTGATTATGTGAATACATGTTTTCGGTATTTCCACGTTCAATGGTCAGTTACTCTCAGTAAAACGTAAACCATCGTGAGCTACCACGTAAATATACAGAAACCATGTTTTAAAACAGTGTACAACAGTCATATTGTTTATGCTTCATGCATCTTTACTATATATGCTACTTGGGCCTTCTGTGGCCGAGTGGTTAATGTTTTTTTTACTTCAAACCACTTGCCCATCACCACTAAAGGTTCGAATCCCGCCAGAGACTATTGATTCTTTAATGCGAGGAAGCTATCCAGCTAGCTTACGAGAACGTTGATGTTCCTTCTCGGGTGCCCGTTCCAGTCTGAAATAATTCACGGAGGGGTACATAACATCTTCCTTTACCAGTAAAGCTATAAATCGTCATATGACCTCAAGTGTGTTGGTTCAACTTAAATCCAACAAATGTTACTTGCTTACTTTATATTGTTATGATCGCCTTTCTTTTTTACTATTGCAAAATGGCCGACATCTGAAGGTACTCAATTTTTTTCTTTCTTTTTTATTTTAATTAAAGAATATCTTGTGTCAAAATAAACTTAAGATGGCGCACTACACATAAACTTCCGCACATCGACAAAAGTGCACGCTCTTAACCAAATGTTATAGAATGTGTCATTACTCTTCGGCCCAACACAATCTAGTGACCGGATATGGTTCTCCGTTTAACCTACCCAATCTGCAAACAATACATAATTTTCTTTAACTTTGTTATATTAAAGAGAATCATGATCAAAACTGGGGGCTGGCTCCTATTTTTTAGTTATCTGCGCCTGAAAGTGAGGTTTTTTTATTGCTTTAGATCATTTTCATGATCAGATATTTAAAAAAAAACTGTAAAGGGGCAAGCAACACCTTACTTAATTTCTTATTCGCTTCTCAAAATTTGCTAAAGTAATATGCAACTGGTTTTATTCATGTGAAATGACATTTTCTCTCAGTTATGTCCCTTTTTAATGAAAATTGCTGTCGGTTTACTCATTGAATCATAGCAAAATATATTTTGTATAGAATTGTTTTTAACTTTGCATAATAATTATTTAGAAAAAATAAGAAAAAATAATTTGAAATGAATACGATGCCAGTATAGTTGGTTTTGAATTATCTGTCCATGAAAAACTACTTTCAGGGGCAGATTACTCAAAAAGTGGGAACGTTTCCCCATTTTTTTTTCCGTAAAGTTAAAAAATGATACTCGTCAGGTTATTTTTTTCCTTCTTTGTCTATTTTAGAAAATGATGAAATTACAGGAAATGTGTTTAAATAAATAAACGATTAAATGAACGCTGCTGAAGTTTATGGGAAATAAAAACATTAGACATTCTAAATAGATGAAAGTATACGGCAACGACTTTATTTGAATATACCATCTTCAAGCATTTATCAAGGTCAAATTATAATATGCAAATTTCTAACCGATTTATCTATGTTAAATTACCCTTTATATGGGTCTTGCCAATAAAATGTTCACGCATCAAACAATGTTAAGTATATCTGTGTCTGCTTTAAAGTTCGACAAAAATGTTGAGGTATTTGATAATGTAACACACTTAGTGTAAAATGTGTATAGAATAACGTACCAATTATCGGACATTCTGTACAAGAATGAACTCTTAGACTTATTTGCAGAATGTCTTAATTTTATTATAACTTGTTGACCCATTATGGTAACATAATTATATTGCACATAAAATGTCACTTTTTTGCTGATTTAACAAAATACTTATCAAACATTATACGGGTATTAATTCTGCATCTTAAACCCGTCTTCCTAACAAATTAAACATTAACACAAATAAACTGAGTTCATATCCTTATTGTTATTATTCTTCTAATTGTAAATCTCCGATAAAACCTGTTATTGTAAATATTTAATTTTCTTTTATTTCGAAAGCCCCCGTGTTAACATTAAATATCTAAAACTAAGACAGCAAACATATTAACTATGTGACATACATGTACATGTAGTTATAACCTAGGTTAATGAGTTAATGTCCTAAAAATACAAAACTTCTAACCTCTGGATAACCATTACAAATATCAATCGAACAAACTGGTATAAGAACTAGGTGTTACATTGCTAAATTTTGAGTTTTTGGTTTGATTACTTTGCCCAAAAATCCGTCTCTTCGCCTTTAACTGTTTTTTTCTACGTCGTAATCTTGCAACAGTTTAATAAAATGATTTGATTTAATTTGAGTTGTTAAATTAGAACTATATATAGATAATTATATTCATATACATGTGAAGGTGCACATTTTATTTATTTATTTATTTTTATAACTAAAGGGTAGTTATCTTCATCCATTCTGCTAAAAACTCCCGTGCACGAGTTCTCGTGTATGTATAATGATACTGAGAACATGTTTAAAATGGTAAGATTAAATTTCTGTCTGCAGACAGTTTGTAAGGAGATAACGATTTTAATTCGATGTATGCTTACAATTTGTTTACATTTATCATCCTGACACAATGTTGTGCAAGAAAGTAAATAAACACATTATATTGTCGGTCCTCTATCATGTGACCTTTGATACATTAAATCACTGATTTTATCATGTGTATGAAAGATATGTAATCGCTTCAACTTTGATTCATCTAGTAAATTTAGAAGTCTGATAGAGGGTTTTATTAGCGTATTTGTGACGGACCTATTGAAGCCCGGGGCAATATGATATTTATCGCCTTCAATGGAATCACAGATAATCAACCAGGCATTGTCAAGTAAAGTATAATGTTAGATACTAACGGTAAGAACGCAGAAGATTATAATGTTTTATTACATTGTTCTGAACTGACATTTATGGTGTATGATAATTGTGCTCAAACAATATAGTTACCTATATTATATTATGTAAGAGCAATTTGGATGGTACATCGATAAATGTTCTTGACACGCACCTGTAGCTCGGAGATCTGTTTTGGCTATTTCATATCATTTAAGTGCGCTGATTTCATTCGACAATAGATTTATTATTTTCTATATTAATTTTTAAGATTTCGTGGATTTTTTATGATTTCATCTGCACGATTTTGCTATTCTTTTTTTTTTCAATGACTTTATTTTAAGCCACTGAACATCACGTTTTCATAAATCTTATTGATTAAATAAAACAAATTTGCCTCGCTGAAGACTCCTTCAAACTTTTTAGAATATAATAAAAACAAACACTTGATGTAGGAAGGATACAATATACAATACATATTGATTCATAGACAATATGTGACACACACACACATATACTTCGACTGTAAACAAAATTGGCTAGCTTGTCCTTAGACATGCATTGGTAACGCTCAAAACAGCATTTACAAACGGTTTCATTCGTAATACGTTTATTCAACTGGCTCATTGTGGAAATTTCCTTTGCATATTTTCGCGTCAGTCATATAAATTGTCATAGGAGAAATTGTAAACATAGCCGGTAGGGGTCCGTGCTCGACAGCGAAAAGTGCATTTAGTGCCCTTACGGTCGGATTGAACCTAATTAAGCATAGACTACATACAAACATGTAAACAAAGCAAGCGTACTTTTGCTTTAAATTATATTTCTAAAAGTGAAGAATATTAATAATTAAACTTCCCCTTGCAGAATTTTAAGGAATAAGAAAATATAGTTGGATACACAGTTGTTCAACGTTATAACATACTATATTCTACAAGTATTAAGTGTCTGTCAAAATAAAGCTCAAATAATTTCACAATTAAAATATTAAATTTCTCAAAAACTTTTTTTATTTTTGGTATACTATCATAGTTTCCAAAAAGTAACTAAATGACCAATTACCTGATTACCTGAACCATCTTCTGCTTCTGTTGCTTTTTTAGCAATTAATAATGTTATATTTTGTATGGAAGTCAAAAACAACTTTGTTTTTGTTACTTTTATGATAAGTTTTTTTTTGATTTAAGCACTTCTGTCTTCAGGTGATAATCATGTAACATGCTGTTAAACCATTTTTAAACATTATAAAATTAATGTATGCCATTTCTAAAGAAATAAAAAAAACTTATTTGTTTCTGGGGGCATAACGTGCATTTAAAGCGGCATTCTTCCAGATGTTTACTAATCTTGGTGATTTTTTTAACTGTATTAAACAATATTGTCAAGTGAACAAAGAAAATAATTGGTTGCTAAAAACACTTAAAATCTACGAAAATACAGGCCAAAACAGGTCAGAATAATAAAAAAATAACCCTTACTGCGTAAACACTCCTTAATTGCATATAACATGCATATAATTTCTTAAATTGTGGAAATTTTACTTTTCTTAAAATCTCAGTACATTTTTCTCAAGATATATTTTATTAAAATGTTTTGGCTAATCTGGGGGCATGCTGCTTTAATGGTTTATGCGAGTTTATCAAATTTGTTATGCTATCCTTTTCCTAATCTGATTCGATCGATGAATTCTAATTTCGGTCAATTGATCCTGATTTTGATAGAATTATCCCGTTGTTTTTTATCAAATGATTCTGATTTTGATTGAACTTGTAACCTGTTTTTGCGGTCATAGGAAGTAGGCGTGTTTCTATAAAGTGTAATTATGTACTTTAATTCACGTTTCATTAAACACGGAATTTCTTAGTTTCTATTGACCCTGGCTTTTGATAATTTGGCATATTTAAAGGTAATTATATGATATAATTCTTTATTAGCTTTTCGTAAATACTGCGTATATATAATATTTAACTAGTTATCACATGGGCAGGGTTGTGGTTCTTAGTAATCACGTTTGGCAAGTTGTTGATTCACTCATACGTAAAACATAATAAAAACTTAAGTTCTAATTGGTTCTTAATATATGATTATATCGTTAAAATATAAACTAATATACAAGATAAAAACTGCATGCTCGATAAACTGTCCATGTAACACTTTCTGCAATTCTTGCTTTATTCTTTCTCTTTTTTTTCAGCGATACAAGAATAATTTGTCAATGCAGTCAAACCTACAATGAAGGCCACATAAATAACATTTTTACAGTGGAATTTTTTAAGAAACCTTATGTCTTCAAGTGCTATCTATCAATTTTTATACATAATTAAATATATGTATTATGATCATGAACATAGACAACTATTTTTAAAGCGGACAATTCCGTTACTTGTGCCGTTATTAACGTTTCACTTTTAAAATAGGTAGGATTTAGAAGGAAAAACATGCATATTTTCACTGTAATAAACTAATTCTATTGTAGAATATGTTAAAAAATCGGCTTTTCTATACATTTTCATTCTTAAAATGACACGCTAGTACGCCGTCTCAACATTTTAAGCTTTCTTAAAATTAGTTCAAAATGCCATAACCTCATTACCTCTGTTCAAAAAGTATGTTTAAAGATATACAACGCTCAAGTTACTATTTAGTTCACATGTCCTTAATTCTTTAGTAAGGCCGTCTCATATTTCACGACAATAGATCACGTATTGTTACATGACCCTTAACCTGACAAATTTTAGTAATGTTTTCGAATTACTTTGAATATAGAACAGTTAATTCAAAGTTCAAGGGATTTCTATATCAAAATGCAATTAAAATGAGCTACCAACAGAAAGCCTGATCAGACCTCCCGGATGTGCACGCTCACCTGGGTCTTATACCTGGGTCTATACTTGTTGCAGATGCTGATTGCTTTCGGTCCAGGGAGATCAAGGGCTAAAAGCTACTATACATGCATATATATAAACCCTGTGATGTGCACTGTTCAGCATAATATAATGTACGTACAAGTGTACCTGTTATTGGCTGAAATATAGGTTACTGGCGAGTCATGAATAAGTATATTTTACAACCCCTATACTAATTAGTGATAAACTTACACAAGTGGACTATTCATATAAATTTAGAAAATGTACATCTGATTTATGGCAGACTTCCTTATCATTGACGGTTATCCGTTATACTTAGCCATCTTACAAGAGTAAAAATAATTATTAAAACCATTAGAGACTGACAGATAAAAACCTTACGTCTGGGAAAGATTATCGTGATTAAAGTACTTGTTGGTCTTCAAAGTTTCATGTAAAAATATCAAAAAGATAATTTTCGTAGAAATTTGGCTATTAAAGTCATAATAATCAGTATAAAAATGGTTAATGGAAACTTTGAAGTTTTGGAAAGCCATAACAGAACATAGTTTTTCATACATCGTTATAATTACATGTATACAGTACGGAAAAAATCAGTTTATATTTCGGACAATTACAGTAAAATTGCTACGTTTTTTACAGCCTTGGTGTTATGTGAAATTCCAAATCAAATACGCAAATTCATGAAGGAATTTGTTCTTAAATTACAAATGTTTCCCAATTGAAGACTTTTTTCAGAAAGAAAAGGAAAATAATGTTAACAGGAAAAACGAAGATATTTTAATATGGGAAAAGTGAGCTATTAGTTGAGTTTTGAACCCACGCCCCATGATGATAATACAATACTGTTCAGGTTCTGCGTTAGGCATCTAATGCCTTAACATTACGTGTGATATAATAGATTTATCTGTTACGAAACATCATTCTAACCTTTACAGATCTTGTTGCACGTTTTTTTCCACGGTAAATTGGCACACAAATAGATAATTTATTGAAAATTAAATCTACCAGACAGAAATGCTTTTGGCAATTTGTATCAATGCAGTCTGGTGCGTCTGGTAATGTAATCGGAGAGCAATTGGCTTTTTTTTTCAGCTTGAAATTTACAGCGCAATTAACATATAAAATATTACAATGAATTATATAATGTTTTAAATTACTGGGAGACTATCTGTACGTAATTAAACGAGAACGAGTCAGTACCCAAGTAATAATCAATGAAGCGTATCCATCGCCTTAACTTCTAACCGCCGAATGTTAAACTTCACTTTAAACTTAAACACGACCGTGATAACGTCACTTTAATAGCAAAATGTTGATTTGTGTATTTACCGTGATAATTGTGGGATACCTCAGTACATCTATAGGTAATTCTAAATTTTCTAAATCATTTTCTTTTTTTTTCTTTTAATTTATCAACTTTTTCTCAGTTACACCAGCTGGTATATTGTTTTTCATCGTAACTTTACAGCTTTAAAACTTGTGCGAGTACAATTTATAAAATTAGTATGCACCCATTATTTTATAAAATTTATAACGTGAAACTTAATAGCGAGATAACTTTTTAAGAATAAGTATTTATAAAGTAACTGTTTTATTTATAAAGTTTATAAGCTGGAAGAAATAATATGGAAGTAAGTACAAATGTACTTAAAAGACAAAACGTACAATTGTGCTTATCGGAAAGTTAGATCTCTATCATTTTCTAGATATAACGTAAAATTAAAAAAGAAAATATTTATGACACTTTTCGACTGGTTTTTGTGTGTGTTTTGATCACTCGATATGTTTTCTTATTAAAAACAAATAAAACCACACACCAACAAAAAGTAACAACAACAATTTACAGCACATAGCGTTAACTAATTTGAATTAATTTACATATATTCTTAATGCATGCATGGCAGTTGCTAAGTAACGCCAATATATTGTTCAACATTGTACTTATTTTTTGCATCGATTTTCCTTTCTCAGCAAATTTCAAGCACTTAACTACCATTCATTAGTTATCAGGTTCATCAAAGGCAGTTATATAATGTATCTAAAATTGCAACAGCTGGCCGACACGCGTGAAAATGTTAAATTCACTGGCACTTAAATTCAATTGCAATATCTGTATTATATAATCTGTTTGAAATATCAAATTTTCAAACACATTCAAACAGAATTTAAAAAGTGTAACATGTCTTCTTTGTTTGTTTGTTTGTTTGTTTGTTTGTTTGTTTGTTTGTTTGTTTGTTTGTTTGTTTGTTTGTTTGTTTCTTTCTTTCTTTCTTTCTTTCTAATAGATAAGAAAAATATTATTTTAAAAACCTTTTAACCCCATTTAAATACATTTTTATGAGTTTATCCGCAAATTGAATACATTTGGCTGAGTTAAGTTTTCATTTCGCTTCTTTTATGCATTTGCGTACACTGTAAATGTAAATGTTCAAGAATAGAACACATCTTAAACGCCTATTTGCAACAGATATTGAACGCCTTGACGCGTCCCATTTCTTAATACTAGTGTTCAATTTTTGTCTCCAACTATTGAAGTTCAAAGTTAGGTATGTTAAAATTTAGAACACTGATGAACACTTATGTTTACAATTGAACACTAGTCTTGATAATACAACAGATCTAAGTCATAAAACGAAGAAATTATATTGAAATTTTTTTATTATTCTTCAGTTATCCACAATCACAAAATGAATAATGTTATCCAAAATTTCTTATTTTTTCTAACTCTAAGCATATTTTACAGTTATTAAGAAAAAAAATCTAAAAGACTTTAACAATTATGATCAGAATACAATAATATAAATACTGTTTTCAAAGTCCTTACAGTAATTTTAGTACATGTTAAATTGTGAGAGTCATGAAAACATAAACAATAAACAATGTTCTGTTGATTTCAAGTAACTGAATTTTAAACACAAACAAACTCTCTCCAAAAGCAATTGTCCTCTCCTCTGAATATCATCAGTTTTGGGGTGTTTTCTTTTGTCTCAAATTAAGCAGGAAAATCGTATTCTTCATTATTCTGGAAAATATAAATGAAATTTATTTACATGTACATAATCTATATTTCCAACACTTGCTAAGGTTTTGATTGTTCTACCCACATAGGTATTCATAGATATTTCAAGGGATCAACAGAACCTTAAATGTTAATGCCAGTACTTATATTAGACCAATGTTGGAATTTTAATATTGTCGAACCTATTGTATTGTATTGTTTAATTAAGGAAACAAACCTCAACGATCTGTATGGAAGTCCTTTAATTACATTCGCTTCTTATTTCTGTACATATTTTGCTCCAGTTTCTTTAGATCTATACAGCAGTTCACTGCTTGTTCAACTACAGTACTTACTTATTCGCTATCCTATTAAAATATAAAGCAACAAAATACATAGTTTAAAGATCAACAAATTTCAATAATTCATTAATCTTAGCATCTAAATAACCCCGACTGCTCAGTAAAATCTACAATCTTACATAAATCTACATGTATATGGCTATAACTTGTAAAAATATTAGAGAGACACGTTATGCCATTGTGAACTATAACATCATGTCGACTTAGTTCTACTGTATCCATAAACCCATTTAATAAAAATAAAATTTATGGATAAAAAAGATGCTAATGAAGTGTATGTTACTTATTAAAAGTTTATACCGTATTTTTCTTCAATTTTAGTGCTTCAGCTTGCGTTTGTTGTTGTTGTTGTAGCTATATAGATTACCGACAATTGCAGACTTAGCTTCATTGAGTCTGTACATGAGGGGTAATGAAAAACATATAAAGTTTTCAAATCTTGAAGAACGAACCTTAAATGTTAATGCCAGTACTTATATTAGACCAATGTTGGAATTTTAATATTGTCGAACCTATTGTATTGTATTGTTTAATTAAGGAAACAAACCTCAACGATCTGTATGGAAGTCCTTTAATTACATTCGCTTCTTATTTCTGTACATATTTTGCTCCAGTTTCTTTAGATCTATACAGCAGTTCACTGCTTGTTCAACTACAGTACTTACTTATTCGCTATCCTATTAAAATATAAAGCAACAAAATACATAGTTTAAAGATCAACAAATTTCAATAATTCATTAATCTTAGCATCTAAATAACCCCGACTGCTCAGTAAAATCTACAATCTTACATAAATCTACATGTATATGGCTATAACTTGTAAAAATATTAGAGAGACACGTTATGCCATTGTGAACTATAACATCATGTCGACTTAGTTCTACTGTATCCATAAACCCATTTAATAAAAATAAAATTTATGGATAAAAAAGATGCTAATGAAGTGTATGTTACTTATTAAAAGTTTATACCGTATTTTTCTTCAATTTTAGTGCTTCAGCTTGCGTTTGTTGTTGTTGTTGTAGCTATATAGATTACCGACAATTGCAGACTTAGCTTCATTGAGTCTGTACATGAGGGGTAATGAAAAACATATAAAGTTTTCAAATCTTGAAGAACGAAATGTTCAATAATAAAACACGCCTTTCTTGTAATGTGTTTAATGACATAAATAGAGGATTGCCAAAAACATGTAGTTCTTACTGACAAAACAGTTATATCATGATACTTTATAAACTTAAACGTTATTATAAGTTATAACAAAACACTTCAAAAAGTAAAAGTTAATAAAGTATCTATATTATGTCCTATACGGTTTTCAGGGATAAAGATGAAAATAGTAATGTTGTAAAGCTGGACATTTCTGAAAAGATCTCGTGACTGGCATTATTTCATTGTCAGAATCCATTTATAATACACAGAGACATAAATTTTTGAAATGTGCTAGTCTTAATTAATATATTATACTGTGATATGGGACTCTGTAAACTGAAAGTATGAATGTCAATGCCATGGGGGAGAGGGTTGTTGCAAAGAACACGATGATCTGATCAATATTTTTGTTATACATATTTAAATCATATATATGATATATGATTTAGTCAAAAATATTTTTACACACCTATTTCTTTACCAAGCTGATGACGTAATGTCGATAAACAGTGACGGATATATTTTCGTTTGGCTTATTGAAGTAATATTTTGACTTGTTAGTATCGAAATGATCTTTAGATTTCATCACTGATTATAATATAAACTAGTCACTCGGATCAACGAACAATAATAACTCGGCAACGCAATCTAAAATTTAATGTTCTTTATCACCAAAATCTGTCAATATTTGAAAAATTGATAAAACTGAAATTCATATTTATGACTTTACCTAACTTCGATGTCCAAGACAGAAAAATGCTGAAAGGGGCCTAACAGTTTCAGCGTAAATAATTAATAATGTACTTCATACTAGGGGCAAAGACTAGTCCCTTTAGGTTCCAGCAGGTTAAAGGGACTACACTAAAATGACGGGACTGGAAATAGTTTCTGAGATTTTTGTACCAATTGATGAAGGTCTGTTCCAATAACTTATGTGCATATTTCCAAATATTTCCTCCCCTGTTTTTCCAAAATACTCATTGGCATTGTGCAAAATGACCCGTAAATGATTAGCGTTACAACTGCTTTTCACTCAAATCGCACAAAAATAGATTTGAGCCGCGTCACGACATAATGGGTTTGCGACCAGCATGGATCCAGACCAGCCTGCGCATCCGCGCAGTCTGATCAGGATTCATGCTTTTCGTTTACAAACCGTATAACAAGTAGAGAAACTCATAGCGAACAACACGGATCCTGATCAGACTGCGCGGATGCGTAGGCTGGTCTGGATCCATGCTGGTCGCAAACCCATTATGTTGGTTTTGTTGTGACACGGTCCATTTTCAATTTAATACTGTGTATATTTCTTCTCCTTTGCAGATTTGTACTTGATAATTGTAAGATTTCCAAAAATTATTTTTAGACCTTTGGACCTCAGCAGAGTTCCTTTTAGTGTGGAAAACAAGTTTGGAATAGGATTTCAAGTAATTTGACGTTCAAATGAAATTTTAGTACGATTCATATGTCAAAGCATGAACGAAATATAACGCCTACGATAGTTGAAATATCGCACAAAGCTGATTTTAAGAATGAAATAGATGTAAATTTAACATGAATGAATAAAATGATATATATTGCAAGATGTAGGACAACTTGGCTCTGATTATAATACTCTTTTTCTGATGATTAAGATACTTGATTTTTGTTTTGCAGTCCGAAATATGAATATATCAGATTTCATCTTCTTTTTTCATGCTCTTCTGTTTTAGAACGTTGTAAAAACAATTATAAAGTTCTATCGTACAGTTTAAGATCGCAACAAAGCCGTTATGTTCATTCTGATACAATATGACGCGACCAGAAACAACTCTGTGAAATTTAAAAGAGAAGTTACTGAAACAAGTCATTATCAATTGACAAACACGTGGAAACCTGGTAAAATTTGCGACCAAATACGTATATATGATACACGGCAACAGTTTAGTCGAATGGCTATTTTCCAAGTAATTAATTCGTCGATGATTTAATGATCATTCTATCGAATTAAACTTCTTTACAAAAATGAACACTAAGTATTTCATGCCTAGAGTCATGTGTGCACGAGCATAAAGAAATAAGTTAATAAACATAGATAATAAAAATGTCCCTCCAAGGCTTCCGTACAAATACTATTAGTTCGTTTATCATACCAAATATTTGATGAACGAGTTAAGTGTTGGAATGGAATATTCATAGCTAATATACATAGGTAAATCTCGAAATAAAAATACAGGGTAAGACTGGCAGCTAGATATTGGGAAGATTACGCATATATAACGACCAAACATCAAATTAGCATCACGTATGTATATAAAAATACCTACGTGTATGAATCAAAGATAAAGGACTTTGTAAAATTTTGTTCACTTACATTGAAGCTCTCATGCTTAATCAGAATGAAGAATTATTCAATGTTCCCTTTTGTATATTTATATATCAAGATTTCGACGGTGCGAAATGTTGGCAAGATTTTTATTGTTGTGTATTTTCGTATACACATTTAACATTTTTATAAGAACAGTTCAAACTTCCCTTTTTGATATACAAATGTATACGTATATTAATTGCGACGGTGTAAAATGTCGATAAAGCTATATACGTATGATTTTCATGCACATATAAATACTGAGTTAAATTAGGAGAGGAAAAAAAACATAATATTATGCAACAATCTTAATCATAGTAGAATAACAAAATTTTAACGAATAGATATTGTGACTTCATCGAAAAACAACATAGTCAGTCATTCTATTCTTGAAATTTTTGCATGCACCACGTGAGTTAATAGATATTTGGTAACTGGTTTCTATACCCCTTTTATTATAGAAGCTTGCAACACTGGCGAGCCGGATGGGACAGGAGTCGAACTTCTCGGTACCAAATATGACTGCAAGTATTTACGGAGTTACTACCCGGAAGACAAGTATATTGGTATATATAACTCAAGGAAGTACCACTGCCAAATGCCTCACACTGACTGCTGTGAATCATGTAACCACGTACTTAGGTATCTATATTGTACGTTCATATATAAAATACAGTATATGAAATACGAAAACTTTAACACCAACAGCAAATATGATTAACACCAGTTATCCATTTACCATTAAATATGCATGTATTTGTATGTTTTATTACAGTGAAATTTGTCAATTTATAACCCCAAAAAATGCGAGAAATACTGGCCGGCCGTGGATCCTTGAACAGAACAGCTTATATGCTTGATTCTTTCAGACAGCCGTGTGTATATTTTGTTTTCAATTTTCTTAACTCAAAACGGATAAATCAGTATGACCGGATCATACTAAGATGATATTGAAATAACCATGCAACGTTTGTCATTCTGGTAGATTTCTATCACAAATTGCTCTCCTTAATAAAAGAAACCCCATTTCTTAACCTTCAGTAATAAACTGTGGCATATATTTTGAACCTATTTAGTACAAAAACTATCATTTGCAACAAATTGACTGGTAATACTTCAAAGAAGATTCTTAAGAGAGGACTGACGCAATGTGTAATATAATCTTTGTCAAATATTTGTTTTTTATACAGTCCTTTAAAAAAAACCAGCCAACTGCCGAATAATTCTCCTGTCGTCATTTTCTGGCCCCAGTTTTAAGTTCCTCTTCTCGGTTCCTGAGTGCACTACAACTTGTTCACTACAGCATGTCCTTGTATAGACAGTGATAAAAAGTCTACAAAGGAAACTCTGTGATAAAGACCGATGTATACAGAAACATCATTGGTGAGCAAGTAACAACTAAGCGGAGGCAGTTTGTGTGCCAACATTGTCTGGTCACGAGTTCGATTCCCAAATAATCAGTGCATCTTTCAACCTGAAATTTTAAGGCCCATTAAAAGTAGTGTTTGTTGTTGATGTTGTTTTGGTATTTTGGTGGTTTTTTTTTTTAAAGATTTTTATTTCAAGTGTCCTGTTACAATTTCTAACAGGTAACTCTTTGGCCATATACTAGTAGTTGAGCCATTATTTGCTTTATTTCTTTTGCGTTTTGGAAATTAGTATAGCTAAAGTGTTTTAGTATTTTGTATGTAAGTCAAATTACCTCTTTGTTTACATTATGACACTTTTGTTACTAATTATTTCATTCTCAACGCTATTTTCTTCAAGTGATAAGCATCTTGAATGTTTTAATCCATTATCACGTCATTATAAATCACACGTTCCCCTTTTCTATAGAAATGATTGTGAAATAATTTATATCTGAGGTGTAATGAGCCTTTAAACCGATGTCACTTGTACGGTTGATGACCAGTGACTACTGCAGGAAAGTAGTATCCTTCGAAAACACACAGAAAATTGCTACAATATCAGGATATTAGATGTATATATCAGTCTATTTAAAGCTTACCGTGTAAATATGTGACATGTTTACATACATTTAACCATGTTATTATAATTGATGATATCCAATACCACGAATATACAACATCTAACCTTGGCTCAGGCAAATGAAAAAAGTCTTCTTCATTCTCCTTATGAAAATACATATCAAATTATAAAATAACATCAATAGTAAGAAGGATAATAGAAGATTTTTTTTTTATTTTCTTAAAGGCAATTTACGGTTTTACGTATTTAACACAAATGTAAAAACCAAATGTTTATACCGGATTATACCGGAAAACTGAAATGTAAGAAGATATTTATTAACTTTTTGAATATTCTAGGGTGACATTTTTAACTTTATTACGTTTGGTACGTTTAGGTACGCACTCCGTGACATTATGCCCATCCAAGGGTATAAAGTGTGTAAACGGGTGAAAATCAAAATAAGTTTTCGTTTTTCCATAATTCCTTTTAATTTAATAATTAAGTTCGCATAAACAATAAATGAGGCAGGATCCAAATTAAATTTCTGTAAATATCCATTATTTACCTATAACGCTTATTTTATAAAAAGAGTGGGGCAGTCTTTTTAAATTTTAGGCAGATATATAATTTTATCCTAAGTATTTTACAATATCAACTGTTGGTCAAACACAATTTTGACAGAAAAAAAAAGTCAATTCAGCTCAACTTGACTATGAAAATATGAGCATAATGTCACTTTAATCAGATGTGAAGGTTTGATAAATGACTTGCACGAATCAAGAAGGAGCGGGGTCAGAGAAAGGGTAATGGGGTAAGAGGCGATTGGTATTTGACTAGTGTATCAGTGGCAAACACGATCTTATGAAAATCAGGCAAGAAATGGACTCGCTACCACATTTTGTAAAAGTAGTAATATGCCAAACCCTCTCTAGATTAACCCTTGTAAAAATTCTGCGACACTTTCTTGTGTTAATACCGTAATATTTATTTCAGTTGTCAAGACGCCCCAGTAAATGGCATTTACCTTGCTGAGATGTATTTCAACTGTTCTTTCTTGCAAAAATATCACATCGACGACGAATATGTTGGTATTTACAAGAATAGAAAGTCAATCTGTAAACAATCTACCACTGATTGTTGTGAATCTTGCGAGAGAGTCTTCAACGAGGTTTGACTTTTATTTCTAACATTTCTTAAAAAAAGTTCTTTTACTTATAACAAAATAAACGAAATAATTCTATTTAAATAAAAAACATTACTTTGAAATCTTAAAAATCGTCGGAACTTTTTAAGATTTTTTTATTAATTATTCGTCTGTGAATGTCACAAATCCTTTTGTGATGACATTTGTTTGTATAACAGGTCGTGGAATCAACAACATCTGGTATAAAGGAGACAACAACAACAACATCAACACCAACACAACAATCTTTAATAGAAACATCAGCAACACAGCTTAAAGGTAAAGCAAGTCTTTCAACTAATGCTGCGCTTGCTAATAAAATTAAATTCTTATACGGTTACATGGTTAAAGACACTAAGATTAATAAGGCAATTTTTATTCAGTATCAAACCATTCTATTTAATGTATGCAGTAAATATTAGAATAGCTTACTGATTTTCTTACAAAAGGTACCGATGATAATTTCTTAAAACCAAGAAGTTGTACCAATCAAGTGAAAAAACATATGTGTGTCCTATTGTAATTTATTTAGTTATTTCAACATTTTAGATACATGTACATATGGATGCCTCTGGATTGGAGACGGTTCAGTGGGAGAGTGTAGTTGGTTGCTAGACCAATCAAAATCAGCAGCGTACAACATTAGGCTAATGCTATGTATGAAGGGGCTCACGAACGGATGTGAGCGCACTTGTGACATCGTTATAACTGTAAGTATCTTTTAGGTACAAAACTTGTTATACTGGAACATATCTGTGTAAAGTTGACATGGTTAGTGTGTAGAACGTAAAATACCTGTGATAAAAGTTGTCACGGTAAGTAGTATAGAACGTTAAGTACCTGTGATAAAAGTTGTCACGGTAAGTAGTATAGAACGTAAAGTACCTGGGATATTTTGTCACGTAAAAGGCATAGAATGAACAAGACCTGTGACATAGTTGTCACGGTCAGAAGCTCGTACATACAATTACTTGATATTTGAAATGCAAAGATTAAAAGATTTAAGTCAAAACAGGTCTGAGACCTTTGATCGCATAATGACTTTAACGTAGTTTTCGTCATCATTTTTCGTAATAATAAATGTTGATTAAAACGTATTATACAGTCAAGATAAAATAATTGCCATAAAATATAAACTAGTAGATGAGCCTTTGTGGACGAGTGGATATAGTTACTGCCTTCAAATGTCTTACCGTTATACGTTCGAATCCCGTGGGAAACGTTGACTTGTGTCATGCCAGCTTCATGGAGCCAGCTTGGTGGAAGCCGATGATTCATTCAAGATACATGCAGGCGGCGTTAAAAAAACAAAATTAAAAGAAAATCAGTTGTAGATTTTTGTTACATTTTATTTTCAGGAATCAAAAAATAGCGGACAGAAAGGTGAATTGACGACTGTTAGACCAACAACGCGTCCAGGTAGCTATCTGTTTCTTTGTCTATTTTGTTTATTTATTACGTAAAACAAGTTTGGAGAAAAGGTATCTCTAGCAGAATTCCATGCAGTTTTCCAAAAGTTTTTTTTATTCAACTTGGCACTGAAAAAGTTCGTAAAAACTGGGTGCAATAGCACTTAACCACGTGGTTAATGGAAATTATGTAATATCATGACGGTTTAATTACTGCAGTAGATTGATTAAGTTATTTTTTATCCAGTAAAACTGAAATACATTCAGAATATTTATTGCTTCTGCATATTTCACACCTTTACATTCTTCCCTTACTGATTTATTGCCTACTTTATTATAAAATACTTTCAAACACTGCAGATAAGTGTCAAGATAAGCAAAACATAATATTTCAGATTGTATCAACAAATATATAAATATATACGATCAAAATATGATTATTTTTAAGAGTTAATGGTCTTAATATTAAAAGTAATTATACCATTTAGAAAAATTTACAAATCAGAATCTTTTTTTTTATTCCCTGCTTTAGTAATTACCAACTTATCACTCAGAAGAGTACCACGTTATAGCGGTACTTATTAAAGATTTATGGCCATATATAAACAGCTTCATGCTTAAATAACCGGAACCACATAATATTATATAACTATCAAGCTGTTATTCACGGCCATATAAACTATGAAAAAATATACCCGAGGAAAAAACTATAAGAAGTACTTCATAAATTTACTGCAGCCGTGTATGTATATTATATAAACGTTGAGCTACTCCAATCAGGATCGACTTGTGTGCGGTATGATGACGAAAGAAATCGTGATTTAATTTCCTAATTTCAATAATTAAGTTATACATGTTAAGATTATTTTTATATAAGGAAGTATAAGTTCATCTCAAAATTATGAAAATCCTTTACATACGAGTTGTTTGCCTATTGTACCATAACAAACTTTCATTTGCTATCTACATATATATCGCTCTTAATGCATTATTAAATAAATGAGCGTCTCAATATTTGGATGATAACGGTGTTAAACTTAAAAAGTTACTTGTTACTAGTATTACGGCCGAAATCTTACATATCTTGTCTATGTTTCTCAAATTTATTCAAACTCTCCTTCCCTGTAGAGATTTTTAGTGTCATGCATTTGTTTTTTTATGTATAAGCAGGTAATCATGTTTCTCAGATGTCTTTCTAATTCGTGCGTACAAGATTTAAGGATAAGAATGTTCAAAGGATAAACATTCATCATTAACATAAATTGCCCTGTTCCAGATTCTGCTTGGCAACATACTCTCAGCAGAAAAGTAAAACATAGTAGTGTAAGATTCCCACAAGCAACATATCATTTCTTAGATGTTGAAATATTCTACCATTGCTTGCAGAAAGACATGGACAAACATTGTGATAGTGGATATCTTTTTATTAATTATTTTATGTTTATTCCAGCTTGTGAAGATACGGTCGTCATTGTAAATAAAGATTTCTACGCATGCAGCGATCTTTTGAATCCAAACTCTAATATATACAACAACAGACAAGCATTTTGTTCCTCCAACAAGAGCGCGTGCTGTCTCACGTGTCAGCGAGTCGTAAACGTAAGTAAAACAGAAGTTCTTTAGTAAGCAAATTTTTAATAATAATGATTTAGTAAGCAAGAACTTTTCTTTCTCGCTTTAATGGGTTTAAGGAATTCAATGCATAAAATAAAACATTTATTTTTCGTATGGAATAAGACATTTGCGATGTTGAAAATAAAGCAATACCATTGAATAACAGTCTTGTAAAGCATTTTTACTTTTTTATTTCACAGGAGAAACCTTCTGGGGTAATAAAATACACCGATGAAAACCAGATCGGCAAAAATGGAATTGTGATTGAACAGATTCCGCAGACTGCTCAAAATATTAAATTAAAGTCGACAAAAAAGAGCAAAACACAGACGTCAGTAGTGACGACAGCACAACCGGCAACCAATCAACTGTCATCCTTATTACACATTCTCAAAGCTACCTCGGACAGATTACAAAGAGAAGAAGAGAAAAGGAGAAATGCCCTGAACGCTTTAATGTCAAACATCATGTCAACATTCTTTAGGTTACAGAAAGCTGGCAATACAAACACGAACTTTAAATAGATGATATCAATAATGAACTGGTCGTATCTAGGTGACAGGACGGAAGTGGTTGGAGAATGAAAGACGACATTCTTGTCCATCCTCTTTCTCTAAGTTATTGTATTTACTTTTGTTATTGATCATGGAATAATTTAAACCATATAGGTTTATATAATAATTTAGTCCTATTTAAGGACACAAACCGAATGTCTTCAATCCAGGAGATTTATAACACTGTACGTTTGTATTGTCCATTTTCATTGGATAATCTTAGATATGGTGACGTATATATGAACTATATTCACGGCTGCTGTCAGTTTATGAAGTTGTTTGTTTTTATCTACATTTGTAATAAAGGAAGTTAGTTATTATGTAAATTTGTTATAAAGATACATGACAGGTTGTATTGTCGTATATAAACGGCTGTTTGCAATATAACTCAAGTCTTGATTATTTAGTTTTTAAAAAATAATAATATGTGCAAATTATAAAAAAAGACAGTTTTGATTTTACATCAGAATGGTTTCTGTGATATACATGTATATTCAGTCATTTTTCAAAAATATACATCATAATAAAACCATGACTATAATGTTATGTCCATGGCAGTATAAACAAACAAAAAAATGACTATCCTCTTTAACTCGGATGTACGTGTTTTATGGAGGAACAGATAATCTCATTTTTATCTGTCCGAACATCAACTCCATATGCCTTCCCATGCACTAAAATTTATCGTCTGGAAGTCCAACTCGACATAAAATTGGCACGTGAACAACATTTACGTGCGTTTTAAAATGCATCAAAGCAATGTAAGAAGAAATAAATCAGTTCTAATTTTTGTTAGAGTGCAGACGGACTCTTTTTATGAATCGAAAAGCCATAACATGAAACGAAAGGGAATTTAATAATGATTGTTTTAATAGCTGTAAATGTTTCGGTTAATCTTGATGTCTGACCAATGTAAAATTTCCAATTAATTTTGAGTTTCAAAAGTTGGTCATGGATAATGTGCGTAATGATTATATTAAATTATATCGACGCTTCACATATACAAGGGTTGTCGCAGAAGTAAAGAGACAACCTTTGTAATTTTATTAAAAAAGATTTTTGTTGTAAATTCATAAAACCCCCAAAAACACATGTCTAAAGGGTCATATTTAATGATGTAATACCAAAAATTTCGTAGAAATACATGAAATACAAGGATGTGTAACAGTCACCAACGTCCCCCGCCATAGGAAGTTTTACATGGAGCACATAATTATGCTATTTCAAAAGATTGATGGATGGATCTGGACTTTAAGAATAAAACCTTGATCATTGATAGTTTGGCATATTCAAGTAACAATAAATTTATTAAAAAAAATAATGAAATAATTCCTGTGTATGCGTCAACAGAAATATATTTGTATATTTGTGATCACTATTTCAAAGACACAAAATGTGGTAAATACAATGTCAATACAATGTATGGGATGTTACAGGGAATATTTCCTGTACAGACCGTAGCTTTTTCATCGATCAAGGTATGTTGGCGATTTATCAATAACATCTTATTTGCTTGAGCCTTACTTGGCATCATACGCTTTAAAAGAACATTTTAGGCTTTGACCTCCAAGAGTGTCCTTGACCTTTGAAGGTAGGGGTCTGGGTGTTGCGCAAGACAGATCCTTTTATTATTATAAACATTTGTGCCAACTTATTGCAAAATCCCTTGATTGATGAAGTTTTAAAAACCGGACATAAAATATGCCCTATAACAGACAATGTTACGCTTTGACCCCCCCCCCCCCCCCCTACAGGGTGACCATGTCCTTGTAGGTAGGCGTCTAGTTGTTGTGCACGACACATCGTGATATTATTGTGAACATTTCTGCCCAGTAATTTTAAAATAACCTTGATCATTCTATGAAAAAGTTTATTGACCGGACACAAAATGTACCCTGTAACAGACCATGTTAATCTTTGACCTCCAATTGTGACATTGACCTTATAGGTAGGTGACTGGATGTTGCGCATGATATATTGTCTCATTATTGTAAACAATTGTGCAAAATATTTTTAATATCTGGACAAGAAAGTTATGGGCCGGACACGTCATGTACCCTCAAATAGACAATTATGACCTTTGACCTTGCCTTGGACGTGGGGTCTGAGTGTTGCGGTTATTATTTTAGATAATGATAAATAGATTTTAAATATTACATTCGTGTAGGTTCAATAATGAATTTTATTGAACTCGATGAATATAATAATACATGTATTATTAAAAACGTGCAGTCATTACGTCATTGTAAGGTTTAAAGGGGTCAAATCTTTTAGCGCGTCACATGCCACCCGTTTGTTTGTTTGTTTTTTTTTTGTAAAAGAATTTCGGCGTAGAGCGTTTGTAAAGATTGTATACAACCTGTGCAGAGCAACGCCCTTTTACAGAAAAAGCTACTGGTTGTTCTAGAGAGGTAAAATGTATTGTGTCTGTCATTTTTGGTAGAAATGATACTATTGTTGACAATTAAGAGGATAACTGTAATTGATCATCAGAAGGTCACTCTGTAGAAGTTGCACCGTATTTAATATAAACTGATGAAAGTGAATGAAAAATATCAGATAAAAGAATGTTTTAGGAAGATAACTTAAAATAAACACTTTTAAAACTTTTAAATACGAACATCTTAGGATGATGAAAGTGAAATAAACTATAAAGGCGTATGTTAGATGTCTTCAATCAAATAGCATTTATATTTCTTGAACTGAGATTTGGGTTTTCATGAGCAGCCATTACTGGTATGGTAAATACATAATAACAACTTATCTTGCAACGTGTCTGGCAGCATTTGATAAAAAAAACTTAAAAAAATAAAGTAAATAAATTAGTTTAAATTATTTACATGTATGCATTCATGCCAGCAACAATATGAGAAATACAATATGAAAACATTAAGATTAAACTATGACGACCACACCCTACTAAAATGAAGCCATCTGTAATTAAACGGAAAGTATATTTTTAAAATCCTGCTAAATTTACGTGAAAGATGGACAGCATATAATGAGAAATAAAAACGATGTTCAAATTTCAAAAAGGAATTCTTTTGATCAAATGTTGTTTTAGACCATACTTCAAACTTGAACTTGTGTGTCTGCCATCAATTCTCATTAAATACGGTATATACATGTATTTGAAGCCAATATTCTTAGAGAAATAAAGTTCTGTATATTAGCCAGTAATAATATTTCTACGTTGTTATATGACCGCTTTTTATGATCGATTTTTCACTTCAGTTCTCGAAAACAAAGTACAATTGAACTATTTTTGTTACTCTTCAACATCTTGTTATTTTGTTTTGATACATAGTGTTGGAATGGAATTTGATGTATGGATTTATTACTTTTTTTCTTACAATATTTATTTGCAATGTGATGCATTTTGGATAAAGTTGTTGTTTTGTTGTTTGTTTTGTTCACCTTTTTAACGAGAACTGTTTCTGATACCGGATACTGTATTTTGACTTATTTTCTGTCCAAAGTCTCCATAGACTGATGTAACACAATAAATTGACATATGATTGGCTAGAAAATGACACGTGGGAGTATCAGTGCATCTAGGTCATGGTTTTTTTCACGTGCATAATTTATTTGTTATTAAGGTATATCTCACAAGAACTTCCTCGGATTAGATATAATTATAGATTTCATATATAGTTTTGTTATCATTTGTACGTCACGTTGAAACGTCAACGTCACGTTAAAACGTTAACCTAATCTGTTTATATTGATAAAACCTTTAATCAAGTTAAAACTTAAAACCTAATAATCATTTCTCATTTATTCAAATCATTTGAAATGTACAGACTTAACAATTATGATACGACATTATCGCATTCATTCGTTGTGATCCTTTTCCATTTAAAGCTGCGGCATTATTCCACTATTTTCCAGATGCTTCTGAGAGTTAGCGATTATATCACCATTGTATTGAGGCAAGTAAACATCTCAAGCATTTTTCAAGATACGTTGCTCCGTATATTAAAGCAGTGATTATATCTATGACTTTAAGTCCAGCTTGGTTTTATTAATTTTCATGATTAAATTGATAGAACATGCTCCACTTTTAACTGATCTCAAGGACTTAAATCATTGTAAAATAGAATCCTATCAAATATCTAATCTAGTCGTCTAAGATATTTGTAATGAGTTACGTCTTGATTTCCTGGTTTTTTCTCTGATGTTATAGTAGGTCAGTTATGAAAATAGAGCGAAATAATCGCTCACTTAAGAATGCTCTATTTAATCATATCTCATTTCTTTGTTTCTATATTCCACATACTTGAGCGATAGAAAATACTAGCCATGTTAAGTGTCTTTATACCAGTCTAGCTGTAACAAGAGAACATTATTAATGGATCCCAAAAATATTACTGATATATCTATTCATTTATTTATTACTTATTTACTTTTCTAAATGATTAATTAATTTGATGTTTATTCAATTTATAGCGTTTGTTGGATGGAAAAGGTCCCATATACATTACCACACCTCAAATGTTAAAAACAAGTGGACACGTGCATAGAATCACGGGCGTGCAGAAGTTATCTGAATAAAGAATAAACAAGAGGGCCATGATGGCCCTGAGGTCGCTCACCTGTATATAGCCCCCGCCCCCTCCCCCCCGGGTCAACTTTTACCCAAGGGCTTTTATTTGAACAGACTTGGTAGACACCCATAAGAAGATGTTTCATGCTAAACATCTAAGTTCTAGCTCATTGGGTTTTTTAAAAGAAGATTTTTAAGTTTTTACTATACACATATAGTTAAAAACAATGACACCCCTGGGGCAGGGCCAGTTTTGACCCCCGGGCTTTTATTTGAACAAACTTTGTAGATATTTACTTAAAGATGTTTCATGTATAATATCTAAACTCAAGCTATTTGGGTTTTTTCAAAGAAGATTTTTAAGTTTTTGCTATACACATATAAGGAAAATCAATGACCCCCGGGGCAGGGCCAGTTTTGACCCCAGGGCTTTTATTTGAACAAACTTGGTAGACACCCATTAGAACATGTTTCATGCTAAATATCTTAGCTCTAGCTCTTTGAGTTCTTTAAAAGAAGATTTTTTAAGTTTTTACTATATGCATATAGGGAAAATCAATGACCCCCTGGGACGGGGCCAATTTTGACCCCAGGGCTTTTATTTGAACAAACTTGGTAGACACCCATTAGAACATGTTTCATGCTAAATATCTTAGCTCTAGCTCTTTGAGTTCTTTAAAAGAAGATTTTTTAAGTTTTTACTATATGCATATAGGGAAAATCAATGACCCCCTGGGACGGGGCCAATTTTGACCCCAGGGCTTTTATTTGAAC